CTATAATGGCCTCGATAAAAAATATATCTGTTAACCGACTAATAATTGTGTATTCCATAGTCTCTTTTGCGTTGAAAATTTGCTTTATATTTTCAATTGATTCATTGATATAGGTTTCAATTTTTTTGTTAAGTAATTTATGTTCTAATCGTATTATCAAGTTATCAGCGTAACTCAAACGTTTTGATTTTTTTAAAACGTTCAAGTAAATTAAAGACAACCAAGAAAATAATTCGTTGTACGAAATATTAGACTCAGGAGATATTTTCTTTGAATCAAGATCTAATAATTTCATCTCGGTATAATTAAAGAGCACGTTTTTAAGGACAGAAACGCTGTCAAACATTTCTTTATGATTAAAGTTATCAAGTCTCGAAAGTTTGGACTCCAAGTATCTAATAAAGAGACTGTCGTTGATTTTATTGTAATCAACGTTTAGTAAATTTGAAGAATTATCAAAGTGCTTGAAGTACCAAAGTTTTTCAAAATCAGATCCTAACTTTGTTTTTATTGATTCTTGATTCATACTACTGTATTGGCATTTGTAATTAACGCAAATTTCAGTTTGATTAACTAAGGTATTATGAAAGTAATAATCGATAAAACTAGTTGAACCATAGTTAGTTTCTTTAATTTGCTTGTCCAAAATATTGAAAACATAATCGTCAGTGTAAGCCAATGACACCATTGGATTTGTAATTATAAAAGAATCAGTAGCTTGCTTTTCTACAACTGATTTATTCGGATCAGTTGCCACTATACTCAAAAAGTCATCATAATAAACTCTATTCAAATTATTAGTATTACTAACAAAATCATTGTCGTGTAAATTTATCTCATCTGCTACGCACTTAACGAACCATAACAATTTGGTATCTCTTTCGCTGTTGAAATTTCCTTGCAAATCAGAAATCAATAAATTCTTGAGAGTAACAGTAATATCGTTTTGGGGCAAAAGCAAAACTTCCGAAATAACTTCATTTTCACATTGCTGATCTAATATTTCAACTTCTTTTACCGTTTCCCATTCTGTGTCAAACACATTATTCCGCTTTAAAGCTTGCTTTGTAATTACATTGGCTACTCTATCAAGTTCATATATACTCATGTTATAAGTGTCTTCAGATGTGGCAATAATTTTTTTTACATTGGTAAACACAAACGGAAATTTTAAATTTCCAAAACTTTTCTCCGGAAATATGATTGAATTATGAAGTTTAGTATTTTCATCTAAGCTTTCAGTCCATATTATCGATTTGAAAAATAAGTTTCCTTTAGGGTTTTCGACTTCGGTGGTTTTTCTTTTCAATGAACAACAACTGTGTAAAATCCCATCTAAAAACAAACAAGCAGAATTTATGTTTAGAGGCGGTAATAATACATAATGAAAATCATTACATTCAGAATAATAACTTTGAATAATAGATTTTACTGGTTTCAAAGAAGAAACAAGTGCTTTCTTTTCTTTTAAAAACGTTAATTTATCGAACTCGTAATGAATTATTGAATAATGTTTTTTCATATTATCCAAGATATCAATTTCTAAAAGTAATTTGTGATATAAACGATTTTCAAAAGTAAGAGTTCTTTCAAATTCATCTGAAGATGTTTGAAGTTTATTTTCGACGTGTATTTTTAAATTTATTCCATCAGCTAAAACGATTTGATTAAATGTAGGTATATATTCCAAAGGTACAGCGACTTTAATTATAATGATATTATCGATTAAAGTACAAACTGAATATTTGAGTAATTTTGGAGATGTTATAATGGACTGACAATTGAATCGTAATGTTTTAAATTTTATTGACAAGAATAAAACCAAAATATTGTCAAACCATTTCGCTGAAACGATTTTTTTCATTAATAGATCGCTAGCAAAATCAGAAAAATCGACATATATGATTTTATTTTCAAACGATGATAATTCAGCAGGATGTGTAGTGTTCGTCAAACTTTGTAAATCATCATAAGAAGCTATTTCCTTAGACATTATTCTTTCAACTAAAGAGTGAGAATTATCTAAGTATTTTCCAAAAATGTTTAGTAAAAGAATTTTGAAATTAGTTTTCACAAAAATAGTTTCATCCGAAGTCCTTGCTACATTGAGTATGTCTTTTATAACTTCGTGACTATTTTCACTTGGTAGCCATAAAAATGGCTTTAATTTTCGATTTTCTAATGGTTTCAAAAAAAGTCTTGTTTTTACTCTGGTATTACCCTTGTAAACTGCACAATCTATTTTATTTTTATTGTTTACTGTATTATCATCAGACGAAACTGATGTGGTATTTGTATCGTTTTGTAAACTTTTTTTCGTGAAAAAAGAATTGTTTGACTTAAAAGACTCTGCACATATTTTACAACACGAAAGTTTTGTGTAATTATAAAACTGACGTAATGAACCACTGGATAAATTTTGCAGTAAATGAACAGTCTCTGGTTCATAACCAAAGCCATTAATCGATGTATCTAACCCTTGAAAGTAAAATGAATTTTTATAACATTTATACTTGCTTAAGCAATCTTCAAATATCGATTTTAAAGCTTCTTTTTTATTTATTTTGATATTGCAATTTTCCAGATATTTAATAAAACTTCGAGAGAATAATAAATGGATGTCGACATTTTCATAACTATAAATAAATCCAAGTCCATATGTATAATTTAACCTCAAACAAATCAGTTTCTTTGCGTTTTCACACGAAGGATGTAAAATAAATTGTGAAATTAATAAAACATAGTTCTTAAAGGAACTGTTAAAAGAAAACATGTTTGATTTCTGCATTGAGTAATTGTTAATTGAAGATATCAAATTCGTATTTTCTTTTAGCTTAATAAAAACGTCAAAAGCTTGATGATCCATGCTATTTTCGGCAGTATCAATTACTTTAACTTGTTTTTTGTTGCCCTCTTGCTTATTATCTTTTAGTGTCAAAAAATTGGACAAATGAACAATGCAGTAGTAAGTTTTTAAATTATTTTTTAAATACTCCAACAAATCATCTGCTCCTTCAACGATAAAAACCAACTCGGTAAATACATCCATGTTAAAATTTCTTAAAGAAAAAACTCGAGATGGATTAAATCTATAATTATTCAAAGACGCATATATTGGTTCTGCTATGGGTTTCAAATTATGGTCCAATTGTTGCACGAAAATCGGATATTTTAAATCCACTAACAAAAACGTAACATTATTAGAAATGACTCGTTCTACTTTGCAAACTATTTTATTATAATTTTCGTGAACTGAGTCTCGTAGAAGTTCGTACTTGTTTCGATCTTCACTCTGATCGATTGGTTTTTTATCATTGTACACGACGGTAGAACGCTTTTGTTTATGCTTTAACGCCAAATATCTTGTGTAATCTGGGTTATTAAAATTTTTAAGCTTACCAAGATCAACGTAATTGGAATAATCTGACAGTTTAACAGCTATAAAGTAATCTTCATTTTCATCGCATGAAGATAGGTCTAGATTGATAAGTTGATTCTCTTCAAGATATTTATAGAACATACAACGATTAGTTTTCTGATAAATAATTGTAGGGACTGCTTTTTTTACAACTTTTTTTTGCATTAAATCTAGTTTACTCTTAAACTTGTCGCTAAATTCAAACAAAAAATGTCCTGTTTCTTGAGTTTTAAAATTTTTAAATATCTGGAAGTTTACTTTTGTTTTGTCAATGACAATCAATCTTTGTTTAATTAAACTATCAATAGAAGAAATTTCCCACCAAGCTAGCAATGGAGAACTAATCAAAATTTCTGCAGATGATTTTTTAACCCCTTTGTCAATGCAAAGTTTTTCGAAATGATGAATTATACCGTTTATCAACCGATATTCAAAACGGAAACATTTTTCACTTTCGTCATTGTCTCGAGAAAATTGGATAACAAATTTAAACTCGTTTATTCGATCATCACGATCTGAAATATAAATTAAGACGTCGTCAATTTTAGTTGAATCTACAAATTCCGAAGTTGAATTGTTTTTCACATTCTGAATAATTTTCTGATAGCCTGAAACTTCGTCAAACAAGGTAATTGTTTTATAATCCATAAATAATTCAAGACTAATGAAAACTTTACCAAGCCGATCAATCAAAGGACAATTACTTATAGAACTAATAGTAAATAAGGAATCAGGTAAATTTTCAAGTAGTTTATAATAAATTGCCATATTGTTTGTGCAATCAGGACTAATGTTAATGTTCAGTAACCAGTAGTTTTCATTTTGTATTATTATATTATCATTAGCAAATTCGACTATTAAACGTTGTTCCTTAAGTGAATTATTATTTTTTGAAATCAAAAGATTGAAATTGTTTCCTCGTAATCGACTCTTGTCAATAAATAAATTTAAACGGGAATGTACATCACTAAAGTTAATAATTTCAAATTTAACTATAGAGTCTAGTAAGTTAGGATCTTGATCTTCATTAGCAATAGGACAAAATCTAAACACAATTGGATCATCAACTAATAACATTTTTTCAAAATCAAACGTCACGCCCAAATCTTTTACCAAAACACATTTAGAAAGTTCCATTGTTATTGAGGTGTCCTTACAAAACGTGACAGTTTTATCATCAGTTGAATTTACTATTTCGTAGAATCCAGTTTCAGTACAATTTAGTGTTATAATATCATCATTTCTGGTTATAACGAGTTTATCTTTTATATTCAAAACGATTTTTTCCGAAAATTCTAAAATTGTTTCTGAAGAATCATACACACGGTTGTAATGGGTATAATAGTCTAAAAACTTAACCTCGTCGGTTTTCATACATTGCAAGATATTATCACTAAACATCGTATTCATATTATCTTGAAATTCAACAGACTCTAACTTGAATTGATCTAATAATTTGTAACTTGCATCATAAAACAAACAATTATAACTTTTTTTTAAGGTTTTGTCAGGCCATTTAGTATGATAAATTACATAATTTTTGTTAAAATCTTGACAATTTTCATCTTTATTAATTTGATAGAAAGCATCGTCTGCTGCACTGCCTAAATCACAATGTAAAAAAAGATTTTTACAATTAACCGTAACCTTTTCTGACTTGATTAATAATGTTAGCTGATTATTAGATTCAGAAAAAATATAATCATACCTGAAGACCTGGGCTTCTGATAAATTTTTTAAGTACATATTACTTTTATATCTTGCCAACAAGTTAATGATGTTTTGGTTAAAATTTGTATCATAAAGCTTTCGATTAATTTTTTTTTCGTATGGATTTTTATCAATCTCTAATATATCCATCAAACCTGCACAAATTTCAGTATCAACTGAAACAGAAAAATCAGTAGTATTAGAATCATACTCAAGTAAATAAGAAACCGAATCAATTTTTTGCAATGAATGACAGTTATCACATAAAACATTATGAGATTCAAAATCGAACTTTATTAATACAGTGTTATTATTTTGTAATATTCTGTTTTCTAACATTTTAAACCTGCATGGTAATGCAATATAAGGCAATAATAAAGTGTTAGTTACAACGTCTTCGGGCTTAATGAAAAAAGAACTGCAGCTCATATTTTTGTAAAAATCCGCTGAATTTACTACTGAACTTAAACAAATTTCAAATATGGCATCTATTATCATAAATTGGGGAGTATCGAATTTTATCGTAATCTTTTCGCTAGTTTTTAAATCTGAGGAATAAACAATGGAAGAAAATATTAAAATTTTTCTTCTACCATTTAAAACATTAAAGTTTAAAGTCAGAATAATGTCGTCCATTAGTAAATCTTGATTTGGAGTTAAATCAAATGATATTTCAACTTCAAAAGATAATATATTATAGTAGCCTATGTGGATTACTAATGAATGTAACACTATAACAGTATCATTTTCATTAACATTTCGATTTATACAGGTTTGTTCATCTTTTTTTACTAACTGATCTGCGTCATGAGATAAAGGTTTATCGTAGTTTCTACTCAATAAGTACCAAAAGAAATCATCAAAAATGGGACAGTTTTGAAGTCTTTTCCACATAGGATTATCAGAAAAAACCGTTTCTAATGTTAAGTCGTTTGACAAATAATAATCTGTTCTTGAAGGAAAAAATGTTTTTATTTTTAATGCTTCTTCAATGAATTTATGACTGATGATTTCATAAGACAGTTTATTCCATAAAGGCGTTGATTTTAGATAAGACGAAAACGACGTTTTAAAGAAATGATATTGAATTAGTTCTTTATATTTTTTATTCTTTAGAATATCTAACAACTTATTTTTCGTATCATTGTACAATAAAGTTGTCATTGGAGCTCTGTTTTTTAAAAAAACTTCGCAACTAAGTTTGTCAAACAATGAAATCATAAGTAACGGTTTTATAGTTAAGTCAATAGCCACAGGAGTTAATTCTGTGTTTTTCAATTTATTTGTAGAAACTTCTTTTATATAAACCTCTTCTAGATTTTGCCATTGAGATACGAATTCTGCATCGGTTACCCATTCATCTTTTGATGAGAGAATTTTTAACACGTCATTTTTTCCAGATAAGGGTAACTTTGACGAAATGAAGTAGTTTTCGTACTTGTTATTTTTATAGTCTGTATAGTAAGTTGCCTTAACAATAATTTTAACAGTGTCTCGATTATATTTAGCGGGAATTTTCGTTGAAAATGATCTAGAATAAATTGTTGATTTATTTTTAGGTTGTAAACTCGGAATTAACTTATAATACTCGTTGATTGAAAACAAGTATTTTATAAACCTAAAATCATCGCTTACAAGAAAAACCTCATAGAAAGTTTTTTCATATTGCTGATCATACTCTAAAAGATAAAATATACCAGAAATCCATTCAATTCTGTTGTCCGTCAAAAACATCGACGAAGTGAATTTAAATATAGCATCATGGCCCAAATTAACCTTAGCGTTTTTCGATATAGCTGAAAGACAAATTTCACTGTTGTAAAAGTATTGGCTTCCAAACTTTAATATAAATAAGCCCTGTTTTCTTATTTCATCGGGCAAACTCAAAATTGACGACTTGTACAAATCACATTTCGTCTGCTCAGATGAAACATATGATAAATACATTGTACATTCATATTTAATACAAGCTTCATAACATTCACTTTTAGCATTAACTATGTTAGAATAAACTAAAAACAAATTTTGAATGGTAATAGCCGACTTCCTATGAGTAAAACAAACTTCATGAATTATTGAAACATCGGTAATGTAAGACAATTCAAAATATGCTTTATTGAAAAAAATTGGGCTAGGCTCTAACGAAAATACCTCTTCTTTTATTCCCAAGTCCTTCCTGTCAATTAACTCATGTTTGTTTGTTAAGATAATTTCTTTTTGCACCGTTGTTCCGTAATAAGTCTCTTTCACGAACTTTTGAATTTCTGCACTATTAGCTATATAGCATGAACCGAACTGTCTGTTCCACACATTTCTATAACCACTTTCACATGCGTTAATATATCCTAAATCCGGACTAATATCGAAGAGTAAAGATTTTGGTTTTCTAACCAAATTCAATGTTGAATCTAAAAAATATGAGGAATTAACCAATACATTTCCTTTGATGGGTAATTCAACGGTGCAAAATAAAATACTTTTTCGAATCAAAAGTAGCTCCATGTCATTAGAAAGAATTATGTTGCCAGAAAGCAGCAATTTTGCTACCTCTGTAATTTTTTCGAATTCTAATTTATCACAAACTATATTTATCCTTCCAGCACTATTTTTATTGACTTTACAACTGTTATCTAACCACTCCGCATTTGAATACCCATATTTATCATAAAATTTAATTAAACATTTATCAGTATTACGAAGCCGTAAACAGATAGCATCGACTAGTTCTTCATGAACAGAAAAAACAAAGTTAAGCTCATCAATAGATGAATTTTTTAACAATAAATAGTGAGGCGGGCAGAAATTTTCAAAGTCAAATTCATATTTATAAAAAGCAAATGCCTCATTTGCCTTTAACAAGTCTTCAAGTTTTGATTTTTCATTTAAATAATAAAGATCAGAATGTCGCATATTCGTTTTTGTATTGACTTCATTAAGTAATTCACTGAATACTTGAACAGCTTTTTTATTATCTATCTCAATTGATTTATTGTGTAAAACCGGAGACAACCGATATCTTAGAATTACATAAGTTTGAAGATTATTATCATACAAAAAACAATCCAATCCCATAGTTATGTTTGGAAAGCCAGTTCCAACAAATTTAAAAGTATTAATGAGACTTTTTTTTATTTCATGTTTGAACCAAACAAACTCATCATTCATAAACCAGGAACTCAGGCAAAAGTCTGCTTTTGCCTTAAAATCATTGATAATGGATAGATCAATTATAAATGCATCTAAGCTATATGCAGACACTTCAAAAGAATAAATCAAAGTACTGTGGGATTCAACATCGACTATAAGTGAATTTAACACTGGCTGTCTTTCGTTAAAAATAACATCAACAATTTCAACTAAATAAACTTCTTTCTCTAGTTCTGTATAAACGTTTAACCGGCATAAAGTATCAAGATCAGAAATGGCTTCAGGTAATACTTCTATATTAAGTTCGTATTTATTATTCGAGTTACGGCTCAATGCACAACCTGAACTGATTGTTGTGAGTTTGTCGAATGTTGAGTATAGTTCTATCGAATATTTGTATTTTTTTTCATCATAAGAAATAAAGTTATTGATTAGGTTAACATTTTTCGTCAATAAAGGACTTTTCCTTAAAGTCTTATTTGTTGAATCAGATTCTGTTATTAAAGGAACTACAAGATCTATATCCTTAACATTAACAATTACAGCTATTCTGTTCATTTCTTCTTGAGCTATTGAACTGTATTCATTTGTTCCTGTCTGCAGATCAATAAAAATCTTTGCTTTCGATTTGTTTAAATTGCGATATATTGTTTCGAATCTGATTTTTTCGTTTTCTAGTTTGAGCTCCTGCGAGATTTTAATTTTGTATAAATTTGAAAGTAGATATTGCTTACTTGGATACACAAAAGTTGTTACAAATGACAATCTCTTTAACAATTCATTTTCTGGTGACACTTTTATTCGTAAAAAATTCATATCAAACGATTTTAACCATGTTAAAAATAGATGATATGTTATTTGGACAGTAGTAAATTTTTTTTGCTGTAATGTAATATAAGCAAACTTAACAAAAAATGTCTGATTACTTTCTAATAGAGGAATCACATTGGTTTTAAAAAAAGATGAGGAATCCACAACTTTATTATTTATCATCTTTTGCTCAACAACTATAGAAGTCTTTCTATGACTATAATAACTGAGATCGTTTTTCACCTGAACAACTAAGTTATTCGTGTCAGAAAATTTTGGTAATTCGTCAATACCACAATTATCAAAAGAGCTGATTGTACCATCGCTATAAACTTCACTTAATACTTTAGAATACAATATACAAACTAAATCGAACGACCAAGCCGTACACTGAGAATGGTTGCTACATAAATTTTTGCATTTCAGAATATCATTAACAAAAAGCCTAGCTATTTCGAAACCAAGAAAGTGATAATTTTCTAAAATACAACTATTTATTTCATATACATGGCGATCTATGATTTTCACAAAGCTCATTTCAGATAACACCAAAGGAATCGAATTCCAACAATAAGCACCATCCTCATCAATCCCAGTATTACAAACAGCATTCTTCCTCTTAATTAAAAACAATTCGTTTTTATTATTATCAAAGATAATTGAATTAGATGGGCGAACAATTGAAATAGAACCACCTAAAATTTTCTCTATGGTAGATTGCATCATTCCTCTTTTATCAATTAATACTAATATATGATTTTTTGGCAAAAATTGTTGATCACACCTTATACTATCTGGATGTACATCGATATCATAACAGTAGTTTGTTTTTAACTCACTACCAGCTTCAGTATCGTTTAAGGTAATGGTCTCATTATGTATTTCCTGATTATCTGAGTATAACACTACTGATATTGATAAAGTCTTACCGATAAAATTAAACGGACAAGTTATGTAACCTATCTGTTTATCATAGTCACACTCTATAATATATTCAGTTTGAATTTCTAGTGTATTATATATTTTTTTATGATCATTAATTTTAAGTTTAATTGAAAAAGGTCGGAGCATAAACCCACTGAAATCAACATCAGGTTTAAACATAATAAAACCATTAGCATAATTCTTTAAACTATTTATATCTATAAATAACGTTTTCAATATTTTAAAACGTCGGATAACATGTTGATCAAATGAAAATTCACACATAACCTTATAAAGGTTATCCTCTGAAATTCCAGTTTTCCTTCTCATAAGTAATAAATATTGAGGCCAGTTGTCTTTGTTAATTCTAGGGATTTGAATTATTTCATTCTTATTAAATTTATATAAATATAACGTCGATTGTTCGACAACGACAATATTTGTAGCAAATTTAAAAGGCTTTGTTAACACTTTAAAAGAATCTTCACTGTAGTTAAGTTGGAAATTACACTTTGGATAAAGTTTTTTCTTTGCTAATGTCAACTTAGATAATAAATTAAAAATATTAGATGCGGCTACTGCTCTGTTGATAAGTTTCTGCATCGAATCTGTTTTGTACACGTTGACAGAGTCGATAAACTTTTTTAAATCTGTGCATTCTAATTTTTTAAACGTGGTGTCATCAGAGATTTGTTTAATAAATAAACAAACGTCACTATTTTCAATTATATTGTAATTATAAAAAGTGTCAGATGCATCGTAGTCTTTGCTGTTAAATCTTTTAATTAATGTAAGTACAGTGTTTAATAAGCTTATGCGATCAAAAACAAAATATTTTTCTTCTTTTTGTATTATCGGAATTATAATTTCAAACAAACCTCGTTCATACCAAAGAAATTTATGCTCAGTGCGGTCTTTTCCTTGTGTAAATTTAGTATTTAATGATAAAAAATAATACGAAGGCCAATCAATATAAGGTAAGTAAATTAAGCTTTTATTCGTAGATAAAAATTTATCATGTTTTACGATTTCTTGAACATCGCTAGAACGATCAAAGATCTCTTTACCTAATGAATAACAATAAATTATAAAATATTTAAATAATTTCATCTTAAAAGAGCTTTAGAATTATTCATCGAAGAGAGATAAACATAATAAATATTGATTTATTTATCAGAACGTAGAGTGTGCAGCCCACATAATTAATTTCAAAAACAATTATTGAAAAGGCAATTGGTCAAATAATTGTCTAATTTTATTTACTTTATTAATATCAATTTTATAATCAGGAATAGCATGTTTATTGTCCATAAAAACATCTATCATGGACATCATCATCTGATCATTTAAGTAGAATTTTAAAATTTCATCTTTATTTAATTCAAATTTGACGGCGGTATGGTTTTCGTTAACGAATTTTTTCATTTGGTCAAGTAACTCTTCTTTAATAACATTGGAATATGTAGTACTCCATTTATCATCCGTTAAAACTTTCACCAAGTTAGTTTTGTACTCCATTAGTAATTCATTTGCAATTCTATACGGAGTTGAAACGTCTTCTAGCTGTTGTTTCAACATTTTATTATTAATATATGGTTCTACTAAAAAATAATTATCTTTTAAAACATAGTAAAGTGATTCTGTCATTAGTATGTCACTGATACTTCTTGTTTTATTAAAACGCTCATCTGAATCCTCGGATAATTTTTTCATAATACAGTTTTAAAAAAGAAAATAGTATTTCTTTATAAGTCTATAATTAATTGCTAAATTATTCAGAAGTGTAAAATAAGAAAATTTCGCTTTTATTCGTCTATTTCAGTATCACTATTTAATAAAACTATATCGGAATTACTGATAGATACTTGTGATTTATAAATATTAAAAATTTGTGAACTAGACGCTATTTGTTTTACATTTTTATCATCTCTAATTTTAACTAAACGCGGAAATCTAAGTCCTATTCCCGATATACCCATTTCGTTACAAGCGGTATGAACTGGAGAAACAAATAAATCTGCTGCTCTTACTTCTAAAACAACACTTGGATCAAACCAAACATCTGGGACTAAATTTGACACGACAGATTGTGGCTTATGTTTTATAATGCTAGTTTCCAACTGTTTATGGAGCTCAGTTAGCTGATTATCATCAAATCCCGTTGCTATTTTGCAAACAGTTCTATAATTATCGTCTTCTTCATCGTACACAGACATTAAAAATGATCCGTACACATTGGTTCTCCGGCCTTTGCCGTAATAAGCACCTACAATCGCTAAATCTATAGAATCTCCTATTGTTTCAATATAATCCTTCTTAACTTTTAACCAATTTGTGTTTCTTTTATTTGGTTCGTAATAAGACAATGGACCATTCAATAATTTAATCATCAATCCTTCAGTATTATTATCTATTGCCTCTTGCAAAAATTTTTCAATATTGTCTAAGCTAGATAAATTTTTTCCAACTGATAAATTAACACTGACTAAATTATCATCTTCCTTTGAAAACTTAAATGAGTCTTTCGCTTCTGAAATTTTTAGATATTTGGTAAAAGACTCAGCGTCTTTCACAAGTTTTTCTAAATACTTTAATCTTTCTTCAAGAGGTTGATCTAACAACACAAGATCATCCATTGCAATACAGTCAAATACGTATAAAGCTACTTTGACATTGGCAACCATTTCTGTAACTTTTCGCTTTCTAGTTGATAAAACCTGAAAAGACAAAATATTATTATTGTCACCAACTGCCACTACTTCAGCATCCAAAATAAAAGCTCTTGAAAATTTCTTAACTATAGAATCATGAATGTCAAAGTATTTGTTATTTAAATTTTCCATTTGGCGGCTAAACAAGCTAACCTTTCCATCTGAGGTTCGATGAATTTGTATTCTTTCTCCATCATACTTGTACTCCGCCCGCACACCTGAGCCGGGAATCAAAGTAACAAGTTCTTTAAAACTTTTGCAAGATTTAGCAAGCATAGGCAAAATTGGAAAACCAATAGTTAGATTGCATTCTTTTTTGATTCTCTCAATACTTGCCCCTGTCAATAAATAAAAAGTAAGTAACCATAAGTTAGGCATTCTAGCGTAACAAACTTTGAAGATGGTGTTCAAGTTGTTAGATGCGACCTCAATATTCTCAGCAGGCGAAACATAAGTCACATATTCCTTATCTAATTGGTTTAAATTTAAAAGACAGTGACAATTGTTTTTGATAAACGTTAAAGAGCACGAATGTATTCCATTATATAATAATTTCGATCTCAACTCATTCATTTCTGTTGATTCGCTCAATTTTTTTACCGATAGTTTACAGAAAGTCTGAGCCAATGTAGATATTATTTTATTTTTCTGAACACCAATCCTCAAAGATTTCAAAAAAAATCTTAGCAAAAATTTCAACTCCTCGTTTTTTGTTGATAATACTAGTTTATTAATAATTTGTAGCTTCTGCTTCACTGCACTCGCTCCAGAAACTTTACATAATTCCTCGTAAGCATTTATTACGTCTTTAACTGTAATAGAAGCAGGAGCTATCAAAAATCCTTTGGGTTTATGAAATAGCATCGCCACGGTACCTAAATCTCCTTGATCTTTTAAGTGCTTTTTAAGTTGAAGCGTGGACAAACCACAAGCTTCCTGGACAACCTTGAAAATTATGTTTTCACCTATTCCTGCATCTAATCCAAGATGTTCTGGCCCTGTGGAGTAAAAAAAAAAAGAAATAATATACAATACAGACTCAGGAGTAACGATGCTGCAGTAAACCAGCAAGTTGGTAATTATATTTGAAATGTATTTTGAACTATTAGAGCCGCTTTTGTAAGTTTCTTCGATTTTCTGGCAAACCTTCGCTAAAAAGCTAAATAGCAAAACGCCATTTGACAATAAAGTTTTATCTTCTAAGAGACTTGTGATGAGTTCATCTCCTTTTTCATCAACACATATAAAATTGTCAAAGCTAACCATCCACCTTACAAAATAACTTATTCTTGACTATTGTTACATAGCAAGGAACAGTACGAAATCCTGTTTTTTTCAACTGAATGAGAGATAAAAAAATATACGAGTCGAAATCAAATATTATTTAATTTAGTGAATAATCTTATTTTTGGTATTCTAGATATTATTATCTGGATCGTAGGCAGGTTATATAGATATAAAAAACATTCTTCCTATTTTTTTATTTATAATGACCTTAACATCTAAATCTTCAATTTTTACATGTGGTACAATACATCAATAGGTAACGTTTTCTTACAGCTAGCATTGATATGTTTGTGCGCAAGTTCAACAATTTCGATTTATTACGCGTTTTCGTCCAATAATCTCGTCAGTTATGATGTCATTGACGCAGAAATGATTTCCACTTCTGTATATACTGATGAATTAAATAAAAACATCACGATAGGGCATATTTCAGGTACTCCAAACCGAATACTTTATATTCCAAATGAAAATAACGACACGGCTACCAACTCAGAATTATTAGATGCGTCTAACCGATTTCGCAATAGGTTAGCTCCAAATTTAGAAAGTTACCAAGATCTACATAACTCCAAATGTGCAAACGATACTGCTTACCAAATTGACATTTGTTCTAGATTAGAATTAGTCTTAATGTGGGTCAAAACGTTTTACATTTTATTGAATCTTGCATTAGTTTGTTTTGTAGGACATATCATTTGTTATAATATCTTACCACATTTTGAAGTTAACACCACCGTGATGGGAATCGTTTTTGCTACTATGAGTTGTGCGTTGTTTATTTCATACGGAGCAATAATAAAAGACACAAGTAACATTGTCACGTCAATTTTAAACTTAGCTCTTCCAAAAAATTACAAATATATATTTATAAATAGGGGAGTAAATTCCTTTTTAGTCACAGCAATAATGACATTTGGCAGCATCGGAACTTTATTTTACCACGCTGCATTACTAGATAAATTGTTTACAAACGCAAAATAATGGTAAATTCAACTATCGTAATCGTACCAGTAGGTAGAATTTATTATTTTTTAAATTATTAATATTTTTTTATGTCATGTCCATTTAATCCATCCCTTGTCAATAAAGTGCTAAATCATGATTATTGGATTTTATCGGCTGAAAAATTAACATTGTCTACATTTATTGATGAAGCGGTTAAATTAACGTCAATTGGGGTGTATTACGGTCCTCACCGTAATATAACCAAATATATGTGTCTACTGTACAAATTGGCCATGTTGAACCCGCCGGATGAAATTATCGAATTATATTTATTAATGTCTAAATATCCTATTTTTATTTCACTAGTGTTATTATATTTACGTTTGAGAAGACCCTATAAAGTAAGTAAAAATATTTTGGTTAAATATTTATACAAAGTAGAGTTTCTGACCGTTATTTACCCAGATCAAACAAAAAGATTACTGAAGATGGACGAGTTCGCTCAAATACTTCTTGAAGAAGATTCTTTTTTGGGATTACATCTGATAAAGTGACGAACTTTCTTTTTAACTTGTGTTAAGCGATCATTATTTTATAATAAATAATTATATTGGCGTTTATGGTTCTGCAAAAAATTGACTTAGAAAAAGATTACACCAATGAATGGTATTTAACTACAACTACAAATAAAAAGTTTCTCGATCACCAAGAATTTATTAAAGACGAAAAAATTTTTTTGCCGTTCGGGGTGACAGAGATATATGGAGAAACTGCGTGCGGAAAAACTTCACTTTTATGTAGCTTGTTAGAAAATTGTGAGACAACTAGTTTGTTCAAAGAAACATTTAGCACAAAAATTGGTCTAATTTTTATTGACTCCGAAGCTTCCATAAGCCGAACGAAGCTCTTGCAAATGTATGAAAAAACTCAAAACCATAATTTGTACTACATAGCGGTTAACAATCCTGAAGAATTTTCTGATCTTTTACTGCAGCTAGAGTTGAATTTGAAAAAACAAAATAATATGATTGGAATTATTTGCATTGACAGTATATCTTATTTGGCAAAAATTTTATTTCACATACACAACGATATCACTACCCACATTAATTGGGTTCGTAAACTAAATAATATCGGTTTTAAACATCGAATTCCTATTGTTATTTCAAATAATTTAACTTATGATAAAAAGAATTTAATAAAACCGTCATTGGGATCTAAATTTTCCTCACTATTGCCGGTTCGAATAAATTTATCGGACTACGATTCAAACAGTGAAAAAGTCTTTCCAAAAAAAAATATTCAAACTGAAATCACGTATATGAATTAGTTGCCAACTTGAAATTAACGTTCTAATCTATTGAAAAAAGTTTATGAATCTGAGAAACGTTTTTTCTTCGTCAGATAGCGATAGCTTTCTGCGAAAGAGTAGTCTAATGCCAATATATCTAGTGAGAAACTCGCCAAAAAAATACACCACGAATGGAAAAAAGAAGTCAGCTGGTAAGCTACCAACTTTGGTTCTTTAGCTTCAATGTAACCCACCACAAGCTGCGAAAAAAATACTATTAGTATTGCAGCTAGCTTTAAAAATAGAGAAGGGAACTTCACGACAAATAAATGCTTAAAGTTTTTGTTGAGTTTTTGTATGATAAAGATAACAAGGTAATTGAAGAAAACAACCAACATCCAAACATAAGACAGCACTGCCCAAATGCAATAAAGTCGATAAAACCAATAGTTTTTAAGATCCTCCCTGAATTTCTTTGAATTGTTGCAAAGCACAGGAGTTTGCATGACAAGATAATCTTGGTTTAACGAATTAACGACATTTTCTGGTTCTATAAGATTTTCTTTTAAAAATCGTTTTTTTGTAGTGTCTGGAGAACTTTTATACGCCTTACTGTCAGCAATTATTTTGTTGAAGGAATTTAAGTAGTCATTAATATTACTCATATCCTCATCAATTTGTTGGGAATTATTAGACTGAAAGCTGCTAGGTGCATCTAAGATATCATTTACGTCTAAATCAATTAAATGAAAAATATGAGAATTGTTGATTCGATGTTCTAAAGGCATATTGACAATAATGCCATTCTGAGCGTCCGGTATGTTGTTATTTTTTCGATGTATTTGGTCTAGCTGAGGATGAGCTAAGCTACTATTATTATACGGCTTTTCTTGAATGCTTGAGTCGATGGTACGCAGAGATCTGACGGGATAAATAGGAACTCCTCCTAATTCGGCATTGCAATTTTGCATTATCGTAGAAAAAACGTTTTCTTGACTGTAAGTTATTAAACATATGTTTAAAAATTGTAAGGAACATATTCCAAGAAATACACAAGCATAATTTACAAATTTCCTGTACCTCGATTTGTCATTATTGTAGTAAATTTTTTGTATTTCATTGTTTATTTTTTCAATGAAAACAAATTCGAACGATGATGACATCCAATTAGGTTGTTCTTGACTGTATTGGTTTACGATATTTGAGCTAGACTTGGTGGCTGCTAGATTATCGAAAAAAAACTTAGAATATTGCACATAACAAGATAATGTTTCAATGATTTGCTTTGTTAAATATATTGACCAAAATAAAACAACTAACACGTTTTTCTTTTTATAAACTTACATAAAAAAGCTGTGATTTTTTCCGGTTGTCTCTGCAATAAAAAAATAATAGGATAATCTTTGATTATGATGAGCGAATTTTTGATCTTCAAAGTATTGTGTTGCAGATAATTTGATATAAACTTCAAGGTCCAAAGAAAAACTACTAACAAGACCACTGATAAAAAAGGCAACAGTTTAGCATAAGAGTTATTGATATATCTAGAAAGTTTCTCAGAAGTATCTAAAGGCTTGTTGAACGATAAAGTTGTAAAACTCATGAGGGGTTTGTTTCTCAAGTTCGAATTTTGTTATTATAATATTTTTTTCACGCGTGCGATATGTTAAGAGTTTAACATATAACCAATCCTCTCAGAAAATTCAGATTGCTTTAACTGATTAGAGTCGTTGAATAGTTCATTGCAAAATAGATTGATTTCGTCGGAAGAGAAAATCGATTTTGCATATAAAATAAAATCATCAATAGTAAGATTATCCTGTATATTACGATTTATTTGATTATACAAACAATCTGTAAAAATGCTAAATTCTTCTTTCAGTAATGAGCAATTATTGAAAATCAAACACAAATATTTATATTTTATTAAATCCAACCCCGCTTGAAACATTTTTTCAAACTGAGACAAACTAAGTGTTCGATTAAGATCTGAACTTTTATTGATTGCTTTTTCTGAATATTCGTTAGACGTGTCAGTTTGAAATTCTATATTTCCCATATTAATGATATTGCAGGCTTTCATTATATTCTTATAATCAATTATTGCGTCATCGGCGAATTCGTCAAATACAAATAAAGCACGCTTCTTCAATACTGGATGTAAATTGTCGAATTTCTGGTTGATTAAATCTCCATATGATGATATTTCTACTAAATTTTTAGTCTGAGAAAGGAGTTTATTAACTAATTTTTTAAGTTTATTATTTTTTTCTAACGTGTTTGACATTGCTAAATTATTTAAAAATTTTCTGTCTAGGTTGTATTCGCAACAGCTGATTAAGAAATAAGTTTTTATCTGGGAGTAATAAACACTAATGCCTACGACTAGAAGTACTTGAGTAGAAAGCAAGATAACAAAATTATACCATTTTAGAATCTTTGGATAAAAAAATATTTGTAAAAAACAAGTCATGATAATGGCGGCAGAAACTCCCAAAATAAACTTTCCATAATGTACGTAGGTGTTTTTGAGTGATAGTAAAGAGACGTATGTTGTGGAATTTATTTTTTTGAAAAACCAATTTTTTAACGATGGGGGTAACAAATCTATTTTTAGAAACAAAGAATCAACTATATTAGTAGTTTTCTTTGAGTAAGAATATTGCGAAATCCTACTGTTTTCAGCTAAAGCATTTACACTGGATTTGTACCAGTTTTTACTTTTAGTAACACAGTAATTGGTTATGAAAATAACAATAACAATTACTAGTCCACAGCACAAACTTACAAAACATCTGTTATCAACGTCTAAAACAACAAATGGAACTACTAAAGTTGACAACATACAACACGCGAAAAACGTTCCCAAAGAGAAATGTGTTAGTATGTTGAACAATTTCTGCACATAAGCATCGTAATAATTATCAAATGAAACATTGTTAATATTTAAGTCTAAATTATTTATAAGACTTGGTGGTGAGTAACATTTACCCTGATATCTCTCTTTGATTGTATTGATTAAAGTGTATTCTTTATCGTCAATTGAAATTTGGTCTAGCAAGTCATATTTTTCTTCATCTATGAAGTTAATGATGTTTTTGTCTAATAAATCAATTCTTAATGAGTTTTGTCGGCCATATATCAAACTGAGTACAAGAGCTATCGAACAGTAAATTAAAATAGTAAAAAAAATGAAAACATGAATGAGTTCAAATAATTCAGTTAATTCTTCATTTACGATATCTTTACGAATCCAACTTTTATTGTTTACAAAGTGCTTAATCAAAAACTTTGACAATAAATCGAAAATTAAATATTTATTAATCAATAAAACTGTCAAAGAGATAAACCCTAAAACAGCAAGTTCGTCGCAGATTATTTTAAATAAGTTGACGAACAGATTATTTTGTTTTTTCTTTTTGTTTACTAAGGTATAGCTCCAATTAAACACACTGTAGACAAAATAAATCAAAAAAATGATAATTATCTTGATCAAAACGTATTTTTGTGTTGGTGATAGCGATAGTCGCATTGGATAGTGAAAAAAAAAGGCGAAGATTAATGTTTCGATCTAGAAAAAAATATAATGTGACGAAATTGATCTAATTTACAAAAAAATCTTGTAATCAGTTCTTATTTATTAAAAAAGTCAAAAATAATAAATAGACTCTTGTAAAAAATAGCTATTACAATAACATCTTATTATGTGAAGTACAAAAAAAAATACAATTAATAAAAAATAATAAAATAATTTTAACATAATTTTTTACAAAAAATTATTATTATTATTTTAAATCGAATGATAAATCGTTGTTAATTGTAATGGCATCGAAAAGTGATGATATTAAACAATTGAATACACCGAAGGTGGAAATTGATGCTAAAAAAGAATCTGATTTATCTTTAATTGTAGAGAATTTTTCTATTAAAAATAATTCAAATTCTAGCTCTACTTTTTCGACACAATGTAACTCTAGTTCAATTCCAATGAAGTCTAATATCAGTAATTTTGATGAAGAATATTCCGACTGGTATGAAGAATCTTTTTATGAATCTAGAGGAGCTAACACTGAAAATAATTCTAACGATGATACAGCCCACTACAATAAAACAAACGCACAAAATGCAGATTTTTCAGAATCTAGTAGATCCAACAAATCAAAAAATTTCCCCCTTACTAAATCCTCACCACAAAATTTCAACAATAATGAAGCAATACCTGATATAAATAATTTTATAAAGGAACCCGAGATAATAAAAAATTCTTATGACATGGTTCTTAATCAGTCGTACAATTATGAGAATCGCTCCGGAAACTGTAATGTTTATAAAGATGTGGAATCTATGAATTCTATGCAATATATTCCAGAAAATTCTAATGAGATTGTACACGAACAATCGTACTATATGCATATGCAAAACCCTAGAAACAATCATAATATGTACAATGTATGTCATGATCGCAATCAACAAAATTTTAAAGAGATCAAAAAACAAAATCCTAGTAACAATAATTCATTTAACTCTGAAAACGTCCAATCAGTCGAACAATGCAACAACTCCCCATTCCAAATGCAAAAACAAAATTCATCTACATCTCCCACTCATAAAGACGAAAATATTGATAATATATTATACAATAATATGCCGCAACAAATGAACATGCATCGATTATCTGGGATAAATACTCACATGATTTCAAATATGCAACATGAAGGAAACATTTCCGCGTCAAATATTTCGATGTCAAACAATGAATCAGGAGATATGCAAACAATGATGAGTAATAATAATATTATTCCGCAGCAATCTTCTATGAATCCTATTTGTAATGTCAACGGTGAAGAAAATATGAATATGCATGGAAAAATGCACGATGAATTAGAGATTTTGGATGTTATGTATCATGAACATATGAAACGAAGATTCGAAAGTGTGAGCCGTCTTAGAGCACTTGTAGACTTGATTACTGAAATTGGAACACTCAGTGAAGTTGAAGATGATTTCGATTTTATGCATGCTCAATATTCTAAAAGACATCTGTCAGAAAAACCAGAAAATGATTTTTACTCAATGCATTATTATCAGCCCGTCAATAATGTAAACTCAAACAACTCATATCTCGCGCAACCAGTCAAGCGAGGTCGTGGAAGACCACGAAAAATGTCTGTTCCAGGTGAAGAATTTGTAAAACGTTCTCGAGGTAGACCTAGAAAGGATTTTAACTCGACCAACATTCCTATTGCAATTGATGGTGTTTCTAGCGGCAGCGATAACGAAACGATGGATATAAGACGAAACCGTGGTAGACCTAGAAAAAATAGTTTGATCGATGAAAATCGTATTAAAAGGCCTCGTGGAAGGCCTCGAAAAGACAGAACTGATCTAGATCCTTTGATTCTTAAAAGACCTCGTGGCAGACCTCGAAAAGCAATTAATGAAATAGACTTATTAATTTCACAAGCTCACCAAATGTCTCTTATTCCCCCGCATATGATGCAAATGAATTCAAATAACCAAAACAGAATGTGTATGGACAGCAATTCAATGTTTAAGTCTATGCAGCAAGCAATGCTGCAACATCAAAGTACTCCTATTGAAACTGGAGAGACTAATGAAATTTAAATCCGTTTTTTCTCAGAAATAGTAACGTTTTAAAAATTTGAATATTGTTCATTTCGGAACTAGCTTTCTATTTTTGTTTTATCCTTACAATTTAATATCAAAAACAAATAAACAATGTTTAGTTGAAAAATTTTTGTTTGTATGAAATTTACGCTGTATAAAAATAAAGTAAAACTATCTGGTATTGTATTTTTATTTCTCAATGTTATTATTAAATTAAATTCATTTTTCAATGAATCCAGTATTGACTAAACTATTTTATGTTTTTTCTTTAATCTTATAAAATTGCAATTCTCAAAAAAATATTTAAAATAGCTTAGAATTTTGGCAAATGGCGTACAACAAAATAAAAAAAAACTTCTCAAAAAAAGAGTGCTTAGGTTGCAGAAAATTTGGACATTTATTGAAAGACTGCCCAGAAGGAAAATATAATATTTGCTGGAGGTGTGGTTCTAACGAGCACCAATCCTCTAATTGCATTCAACCTGAAGATCCTGAAAACCCCACCCCGTTTATAACATGTTTCTATTGTAATAAAAACGGTCATAGCTCTTCAAAATGTCCTGATAACAAAAGGGGATTGTATCCGTATGGTGGAGGATGCTATAGATGCAACAGTGTTAGGCATTTAGCTAAAGACTGCGAAATGCGAAAAGATTTTATCGAGGAAAAACGCCTTAATCGAAAAAAAAAGAGAAATGAACCTAAGAAAAATATGGAGGTTAAAAAGCAAACTAAGGATTGATTTTATTTAGAAATTTTTAATTTATTAAATTTCTTTTTATCTGCAATTCAATGATGACAGCTTTCACCTTTGTAAATCTATAATTATAAAGATTCATCTAATTTTCATGATTATCAAACAAAAGGAGAGAATAAAGCAATGCTTGAGTAACTTAGAAATAACATCATTCAATAAAGATTTGCCTGCACGAGAAAAACAAATACTTTATTTAAATAAAGCGTTCAGAAGAAGTATAAAAAATCCTGGTGGTCCGGGCCATGTCTTTTATATTTACGGCCAGCCTGGAACAGGAAAAACTGCTACAATTAGTTATTTGACAAATACGTTAAAAAGACAGTATGCTTTTGAACTTTTAGAAATTAATTGCTTTTCCATTCGAAAGATTGATCAACTATACAAGATAATTTACGGTAAATTATATCCAGAAAAATCGCAGGTTACGAACGAAACAGCAAGAACGCAAGTGTTTCAAGTATTTAACAGTTCAAAAGCTTCAGCGCACCATTATTTTGTTATCTTAGATGAGTTTGAACATTTATATAAATATAATAAAAAAAATTTTGATAACGAATTCTATACATTATTTTCTCTTACTCATGAACCAAATGTGTCGATGTCGATCGTTTGCATCGCAAACGGAATAAATTTATATGAAAATGCTTTTAGTGTTAAAACACTAAGCAGACTTGGAAATATAAATTACTGTTTTCCAAGTTATAAATACAATGAAATCATCGAAATACTTAGTTCAAAAAGTGAAGTAATTACGGAACTTTTTGAAAATAATGTTTTGGAATTGCTTTGTCGTAAAGTCAGCGCTAAAACAGGCGACATGAGATATTTATTAGGGTTAGTTTCTATAATAATTGAAAAATATTGTTTGCAAGCAGAACGGTTAGTAACTATTAACGACATTATGGAAGAATGTATTTTATTTCACGACGATGTAAGTATCAGATCTGTTATTATTTTTAGGGTTTTAAACAATTATTAACCGACCTAAGTTTCCAATCGAAAATTTTAGTTTGTTCAATTTATTCGCTAATACGTTCGGACACAGAAAGCCTATATATTCCAGATGTTTTAACTAAATTTTCATACGAACTGTGTTTGCTTTGCAACTATGAACAATTTGAAATTGAACTTTTATTTGAAGCTTGCATGAACGAAGTCGTTGAAAGACGTATAGTACGTTTTATATATTATTTGAAGACGGAGATAGGAGGATTAAGCCATCCTGCACTAGAAGGAAATAAAAATAAACAATTAAAACTGTTTCAGTCATCAACAAGTTTATATGAAAAATATGGTCAATGGGGATTACTAGTTTTAATTTCTATGTCTGACATAATCGATGCTTACCAATCTGAAACCAAACTGGTTTCTTTGCTAGCACAAATTCAAAATCTAGATACTTAATGGCTTTTCACGTCAAGAAATAATGCGTATATCTATATATTTATGATTTTTATTGTATTAAATTAAAACATTGAATGGTGCAGAAATTCTAAACAAAAGTTCTTCAAGTTTTGATTAATTTTCGATTTATTGGTGCAAATAATAACGTTTATAGATAATTTCTATATTAGATGCTGTTGTATTATACCTATTGAAGAGTACGCATTATAAAGAAATTGTTCACTATCTGATGGAACAAGATGCTAGAGATAAATGCAAAAAATATGATAAATTAAATGTGGAGCTGAAAGGTAGATCACCAAAACATGGTAACAAAATATTTGTATTCATTTTATTGTTAATCATAGCTGGCTATTACAGTGCGTACTTCTATTTATGTATCTTCTCACCTGAAGGTAAAACACGGCTATTAAATCATAGCTTTTGGAGAATTTCCATTGGCATTTTGCATATGCATTTACTACTCTTATTGTTTTCTTACGTTGCTGCTATTCAAACTGAGCCGGGAGCAATACCTCCGCATTGGGGATTTTACGTAGGTGACGACGCTCGACGAATTAGATATTGTGGAATTTGTCAAGTTTGGAAACCAGACAGAGCACATCACTGCAGTGTCTGTAATAGATGTGTTTTAAATATGGATCACCATTGTCCTTGGATTAACAATTGTGTTGGATTCTACAATAGAAAGTTTTTCATCCAAGCGTTATTCTTCGCGAATTCTTGTTTATTAAATATGTTGATTCAAATGTAAGTTTGATTTAAACAAATAATTTTAGCTTTTACATTTTATTCCCATTGCTTGTGAATTCTAGAAATAGATATTCACGTGGAATGGATACGAATGCTCGTGTTTCAGGACTATTATTACTAGCTGTTTTGATAATAGGAGTTTTGCTTGGACTTATTCCGTTTAGTCGATTTCATTGGCATTTATTAGTATCTGTAAGTAAAACCAAAACCAATACATTTTTATAGAATTCAACTACCATTGAATCGTTAGATGTTGTTAATAAAGAACACTCACGATTTAATATTGGGGCTAGAAGAAACATAGAACAAGTTTTTGGATCCAATTTTTTGTTTTGGTGGCTACCATGCCATACTTCGTCAACCCAACCTGTTGGTGACGGAGTTAGATGGCGGCGACATTATTTGAAGAATGATAATTTATCGTTAATATAGGTTTTAAAGTAAAGTTAAACACAATCACCTGATTACTAAGTATATCAATCATAAAATCTAATAAATATTGTGCGAGGTATAATGGTGTTTATATAAAACTAAAATAACTAAATATAAAAAACGGCTTACATAAATACCAGGAATAGAATTTGTGGAATTTGAAAAAGGATTTCATATAGATAATGTGTAATCAATCTACGATAAAAAATGTGTAAGTTTGATAGAATTGATTGAGTTAATTGAGTTTAATAGATAAACTATAACGTGATTAGTTAATTTGATTTGGTCAACGTTAGTGCTCGGTTGATAATATATTCAGTGAGCGCTTCATTCTTTTCGTCTAAATCTTTCGTAATTTCTCCACGAGCTCTGCAGGGTAATTTTGTACCTTCCAAGTTGCTGTGGACCCATCGCTTCAAGCGCATATAACATGCATTGCAAAATTTCTCGCGATGTACGTATCTCCACTGAGGTGTTTCAGTAATGTCGCAATTCTTACAACCACCACTTACACTAATGATATTGCTTCGCCGACTGTTTTTTGGTTTTCGATTAATTTTAATTACATTTTGGTTTGATATAATTTTTGTTTTAGTAGAACTGGCAGTGGTGGGTCTAAATTGTAAATTGTCACCAAATATCAATTTGGATATTTCTTGATCAAAATTTTTTGACTGCGCAGCTCGAAAACAATCCCTTAATATTGCATATATGAATGGAACGTAAACAGATGGGTTCGTGTTTTCACCATTGACAAAACTAAGGTCTTTATGAGTATCATCTACTGTGGTTGGTTTCTGTTCTTCTTGCATCGTTTAATATTATTCATATAATTATGAAGTTATTCAACAGTTGATTAGAGCTGTTCAAAAAAATTATTATATTAAAAAAACTTACAAAAAAATAATTATTGTAACTCATTTTTTTTTAAAAAAAATTATTATCGTTTTTGTTTTGCATCTTGAAATAGTCTAATTCTACTATATTTAATATATTTGCTAAACTTTTTTTTATCTATAGATAAATTTCGTAATTGTATGTCAAAAAAATATATCAAGCCGACTCATAAAAAAGAGTTTGATCAAATTGTTCGCGATGTTCGAGCCATCGCATTACCACATATAGACAAACGTGCAAGAAAAATCTATCTAAGTCAAGTTTCTTGGCTAAAAGAGAACAAAGTATTAAAAAACGAAAAACAACCGTTGCCTCACTTGTTATGTAAAAAAAGACAACAAAAAGAAAAAATAAATCGAATCTTGGAAGAAGACAAAGCAAAAGGTGTTAAAACATTATCTTCTTGTAAAATTGATTGTTTTGAAATTTTGAAGGCTAACAAGCTCAAAAAAAAAAATAAACAACTCGCAAAGCGACAAGTAAAATTGTTTTGAATATGACTAATTTTACGTTTCAATATTCAATAAATTTAATTTATTAATTTTTTAAATAAAACTTTGAAAAAGCCATTCACTAATGTCGAGTACAAAAGATACCAATGTAGGATCAAACAAGAATCATTTAGTGCGTAAGTTTTAGTTTATCGTATGATTTTTAGATATTAGAATGCAGCAGCGTAACGGCCGCAAGTCTTGGACTTTAATAACCGGTCTTGACGAACGTTTCGACCCCAAAAAAATTTTGCGACAAATGCAAAAAACATTTTCTTGTAATGGAACTGTTGTTGAAGATAGTGAGCATGGATGTGTCATTCAATTACAAGGCGATCAAAGAGAATTGGTCGTACAGTTTTTGAAAGAGCAGGCTATCTGCACTGGAGATGAAATCAGAATGCATGGAACATAAAATTTTATTGTAAATTATTTTTATTATCGCTTTAAAAATTTAAATTTAGTCTAATGGGAGGTGATAGTGGTTTTATTTTCAAAAGATCTGATTTGATTCAAATTAAAGGTTGGAAACATTACCAGTCACTTGGAGCCGTGGGCAATGAAGCGAATTGCCTAGTCCGCGATGAAAATAGACCAGACTATGCTAAAATTAATAAAAATTTTTACATTTTTCATTGTTGTTTGAGTAAACAGCCGCTGAAACCTCCATTATATATAGATAAATGTGGTTTTATATACAACAAAAACGCAATTGAGCATGAAATTTTTGTTCACAACGATGATACAGAAAAAAACACGTTTCTCACTCAATTGCTCGAGAGTGTTCCAATCGGAGGAAATGATGCAACTCTAAATACTTCATCGTATTTCGAAGAACAAACTGGGCGTTTAAAATGCATAATATCGCAAATAAAGTTCGAAAATTCCGATCAATCTTTCGGATACAGCAAAAAATGTGGTTGTGTTTGGCTTTTTTCTGAAAGCTATATAAACTATTCGCACTTTTTAAATCAAATCAAAAAAAAATTTGATTGTCCGGTTTGTTTTGAATTAACGGAAATAATAGAAATATGTTCATATTATTCTTTTAATCAAAATTTGATGGTTTAAAAACTATAAAAATTAATTATTTTAAATTAGACTTCTACTACTTAGTATAATATAGTAAACAGCTAATACAACATGGAAAGTTGTAACTACAGTTATGATTTTGAAAATTTCACAATAAATGTTATAGATTTAATTAATATTTTAGTTTTAGCAGCTGACGAGATACTCAAAATATATGAATTAGAACAGTTTTCAGTGAAATATAAAAAAGATAAATCGCCAGTTACTAAAGCTGATTTGTTAAGTAATCAGATAATAGTTGAAAATTTAGAAAAATTATTTCCCAATATTGCTATCATTAGCGAGGAATCCCATTTACCCAGCTTTGAAGAGCGCAAAAATTACAAACAATATTGGTGTATTGACCCTTTAGACGGTACACAACAATTTATAAAAAAAAACGGGCAATTTACAATTAATTTAGCTTTAATTCAAGACAATATTCCTGTCTTTGGCATTGTGTGTGTTCCAAAATTTGATTTGCTGTATTTTGGATCTGCAATTCACAAAGAAGCCTTTAAAGGACGGCTGTCAACGAAACTAAATAATTTAATAAAACTCGTTCCAATAAGAATTGTAGCTGATAAACCTGAAAATATTATTGTCGTAGCTTCCTCTTCTATAAAACACGCTGTAAAAAAATTACTTGCGCCTTTTGGTAAATATAAAATTCAAAAATTAGGTAGCAGCTGGAAATTTTTGTTTGTTGCGGATGGTACTGCAAACATCTATATCAGACCGAGTTTAAGTCATGAATGGGATACAGCTGCTAGTCATGCAATAATTCGAGCGGTGGGCGGAGAAATTTACGCTCTTCAACACTTTAACTGTGTGAAACCTGAATGTCACAACATGGAAATTCTTCCTGAATATAGACACCTAGCTATTGATCACCCTCTTAAATACAACAAAGAATCAACTTTGAATCCTTGTTTTATTGTTCTTCCAGAAAAAGCTTATATATAAAAATTTCAAAGCGATATCTTGTAAAAATTTAAATTTATAAATATCATTTCAGTAATTATAATTATTTAAAAGTTTGAAAATTAAAATAATTATAAAACAAAATGGGATTTTGCTGTTTTGGTTCTTCTAAAGCATCTTTGATTAAAGAAATAAATTTATTATCAACAGTAGTGGAGGACCAGCAAAAAAAAATTGAACTTTTGACTGAAATGTTTGAAAATAAATTTACAGCTAAAGAAACTGAGCACTACAACGAGTTACAAGCGTATCACTGCTGTCCACATATAAAAGAAAATAATAATAAAAGAACGATTACTTTGTCTAAAGAAATAATTTCTGATTACAATTCAACTTCATAGCTATTTGTATCACAATATAGATCATCATAAAAAAGTTTCTATGATACTTGGAAAACCAGTACTCAATGATCCTCTACGTTTTATGCCTAATCGAAATTATTTTTTAACCAAAAAGTGTCATGTATAAACGATAAGCTCAAAACACGTTGTAAATAAACCTAAAAAAAATATTCATTAGAATTAGTTTAAAATAAATAAAATTGTAAAACAAAAACCTAAGCAACAATTGCAGAAGCTTTGGAAGCAGTGTATTTCCAGTTGGCTGGAAGTTTTCTTCGGCTTCTGTAGTATCTAGATAATTTATGTATTTTAGATTCGCAAAGAGAAAGTCTAAACTTAGCGTCTTTGTCAGCTCTGTTTCTGTCTAAATGCTTTCTAATAGTGACGGCTTTACGCATTAAGAAGTAAAGGTTTTCAGGAATTTCAGATTCTAATCCCTTTTTCCTAAGAATAACAGAAATAGTGCTACCAGTAATGCTGTGAACTCTTGGAATAGCGTGGGAATCTCTTAGAGCTACACCAATCTGTGATGGAGTAAAACCTTTCTTGGCTAAGTTAACAATGAGGGAAACAATCTCTGAAGGGTTGGTTTTGCACCAAGAAGGAACGTTTCGGTTGTAGGGTAATGATGAACGGGAAATACCCTTTCCCTTGCCGTACATTTTCGCCATTGTTTCAGATATTTGGTAAAGCAAAGCTACGATAAAATTTATAAGACAATACAAATTATTATTTACCAGCAATAATATTTGCAAATTTAGGAAATTATTCGTAATTTCACAAATTAAATTAGATTTTTTTAATATTATTTAATTTCCATTTTCGGCCATTTCTAATACAATTGGTACGTGATCACTCCCGGGAAGAGCATCTCTGATCGTGCAAAATATTTTATGTTTAAGCATCAATTTTGTTGCTATAAATAAATCAATACGCCAGCCTAGATTAGTTTTTCTCATTTTACTATTCATCGTAGACCAATATGTATACCTTCTCACGTTAGGGTTTTGATGGCGCCATAAGTCAATATAATTTGAGTTTTCTAAAAAGCTGCCAAACGACTCTCTCTCTTCTTTTGTGTGACCACTGCTACGTTTATTTCCTTCACTATTCCAAATATCCATTTCTGTATGAGCGATATTTAAATCTCCAGCCAAAATAACTGGGATTGAATATAATTTATCTAATTTATTCAAATATGCATATAAAGCAGTGTCCCATTCTTTAATGCGTGTTTCTAGCCTAACTAAACCTCTGCCTGCATTTAAACTATAACAACTAACTAATATGAACTGGCTGGTGAATAAACTTAAAATCCTTTTTTCTTTGTCTAATTCTGCATGGCCAAGTCCTTCGAAAATGACAAATTTTTCGTGATTGTGAATTATGCGTAAATCTATATCAGTAATATCTAATACAAATTTAGGTAAAGCTTCAATAAATTTTTTACTAATTAAAAGAGTGACACCGGCGTAAGCTTTTTTTTCTTCAAAAATGTTGAAATTTAAATAATCCTCATGTAAAAATTTAAATTGATCTGCAACTTTTTGAGTTATCTTAGTTTCTAGTAAAGCAAGGATTTCTGGTTTTTCAGCATTTAAATATTCTATCAAGATGCTTTCATTTTCATCTGTTCGTTTTAATACTGATCTTAGCCCATTTACGTTCCAAACAACAATTTTGGAACTACTGATGAAATCTGGTTTCTCGTCTTCAATTTGCTTTATCCAACTTGTAGGAATATCTTTACCTTGCCCATCTACATGTGGATTAAATTTAGTTTTACTTTTTTTGTTAATTCGCTCATCATTTTCAGATGCTTTTTTTTCAATACTGCGTTTTCTATTACTAAATTTAGCTTTCACCTCGGTTTTTATGTTTGAAATTTTGTTTTTTCTATTGATATCGAAATTTTTTTCTAGTATAAATTATTTATGCTTTAACATACCATCATCTAATTGAGACGATTCGTCAATTTGAGCCGGCTCTAAATTCAGATCAGTACTAATCATTTAGTTTTTTGAAAGCAAAAAAATATAAATAATATAAATCTACTTTAATTATAATGAATTTTACCTAAATGAATGTTTTCTCCAATCTAAATTGGTTTATACTAAATCTAACTAACTTATATACTATAGCTTATGCAGATAATTTCGAATCAGTAAATATCAAAATTGAACTTAGTAATAGTAAGTATCAAAGTTTAATATCTATTTGTTTTTAGTGTTAGAAATTCCTAAGTCAACTGCTGACTTGATGTTTTCTGCTATAGATAATATGATAAAGGAAGAAATAGATAAGTTAGAAAGAAAATATAAGAGCACAAATACGCTGAAAATGATCGATACTAACTATCTTGTTGGATTAAATATTCCTGATAAAAGTAAACTGACAGGTGCCCCAAGACGGGTTATTAATCAAGAAAACATGCTCGAAAACCAAATTATCACTAAGTTACGTTCTGGTTCACAACCAAATCCAATTAAAATGAATCCAGTTTAAAGAAGTTGACGTAAATTCCAATATTTTGTTACTAACAAATAAATATTTTCTTGATAATCTAATAACCATTACTAATAACACTTTAAGAACATTCTTATGAGTTTTCCATATGATTTATACGAGGTGTGCATTCATTAATATAACGATCGTTTTTTTCAAGCACTATGTAAAAAAGGAAAACTTAAAAGATAAAGAAAACCTAATATCAATATAAGTAATAATTTAAATTTGAACAATGACATCGGTAGTTAACAATTTAAGTCGATTGCTAGCAATTATTATACGAATAGAAGTTTTTGAAACCATATTCTACTTTATTTTATTTTGGTTGATTCTGAATCAATTAATTAAAATAGAATATTCAATATGGACCGGATCAGTTGTACCTGTTATAATTATGCTCTTAATATTTAGTACTTTGAGATTAATTTCTTTATTTATATCAATGAAAAGGCTACTTATTGATTGTATCGATGAAATTTATTTATCGTTTAGATATCAAATAAATAATCAACACATTGACACAAACAAAAAACCTTCATTATTTCCCAAATTACATTTAGAAACGGATACAACTAATACTATATACAGAGCTAGATTAGTCGGTTTAAATAGATCTTCGTTTTATTCAGAATGCTATCCAACACCATTTAATACTTATGATAACAGCAACAACTGGGTTCTACCACACGCAAGTTCTTGGAAATTACTATATAATATATTCGAGAAATATTTATTAAACTCAACTTATCTAGAGCTCGACACAATCATCGATGCTTTAGTGAGTGGAAAATCGAATAAAAACATAACAAATATCGCATTTACAGCAGATAATACTTTGAATACAACAACCTTGAAACAAATAAATTTTACATCGAAAATTAACAACTTAGACGGTGTTGAATGCACGTTACATACTCTAATTTCTGATGATAATCTAAAAATTGTTTTTGCTAAATCTCGAAGAATGTCTTTTACTACGTCAAATCTATGTTTAAACTCAGTAATAAATCGAAATATTGCGTTATTAGAAGCTTTTTTAACACATAAAATCGGATCGGATGCTAGTATCTTAGGATACCAATCAACTATAGATTTAATGAATATAAGACATTCCGTATACTTAAATGAACCAACAAATCTAAAATTTCTTGAAACAGTGAATCGACATTACGAATTTGAGCTTCCAGGATCCTGTACAGTTTATTGGGATAATGATTACTTAGGTAATATATCTAACCATAAAGGAAAAAAATATATACTTAACAAATATCTTCCACTTCAGAACTCATCATATGAACTTACTTTAGATAAGTCAAGAAAAGAACTAACTAAACACATTTACTATAATTACAGCACAATATTGGATAAACTAGATGAATTGATTAAGCAATATCAAGCCAAAAATAAACCAAAATCACAAAATGATTATAAGGAGTATGACATTCATGATTTTGATCGTACTAATCACGATTTGGTATTGACAAAACGATCATATGCCCCATTTTTTGAATCTACTGAAAGTCATACAAAAGACAGTTTAAGCTTGATGTTAAATGCATATTCTGGCGAAGACTTAGATTTAACTAAGTTATATGATATTCCTAAATTTAGTTTTAGTATTTCGAGAATTGAAAATAATTATTATGCATCTTATGTCAATGAAAACGTTGTGGCTGCCGACAATATAAACGTCGATCTAGGTGATTCTAATATAATGTTATACCAAGATAAATATAGACTTAGAACTGACATTTCCGATAGACTCCCTGTAGATTACCAAACAGACAATCTTGCTTATTTTAGTAATGAAACCGATATCGAATTTTCAAACTTATCTGATATAGTTGGAGATATTCAACTTTCAGAAGTTGACAAAAGAAAGTTATTAATTTCTGGACAAAATAATTATATAACAAGTGATGGATTAAAACATCTTAATAATAATTCTGATTATGAATTAGAAACTAATAAACTCAAAACAATAATAAATAGTAAGAAGTTTCCATTTTCTATGTTTAATGTCATAGATCAAAAATTATATTATAAACAAATAAATAATTATAGGAGTTACTTTGAAAAACGTAAGAAGTATCATTCTGTAATCAAAATCGATGAAATTTGTGAAATTATTAATTGGTCATCAACAATACAGACAGATGATATAGGAAATTTTGATTCATTCAAACTATTCTTTCCGTTTATATATATGCATTCAAATCAGCTTGTATCATTAAACGATTCGAAAAAGTTCAAGAAGGCAATGTTACTAAAACGACAGTCCGATAAAATTATCTATTTCAATTTAATACCTCAATCTTACAGCAATATTAATAATAAATTTATTCTAACTGCAAATATTGATATCTCGTTACCAATTGATGAAATAATAGGTTATTTATTTTTTACTAATCAAGTTAATCAGAAATCTTTAAGAAAACTACAATTGGCAATCATGAATCGTGAAAATATGAGGCTGAAGGTTATAAAACAGAATGAGCTAAGACAGTTAGTATTGGAAAAATTACCGTATTCTATCGATATAAATATTCGTACTTTTAAGTTAAATCAGTTGTCGATCAAAAACATTAATCAATTACTAGCAATAAAAAACCAATCAAAAGGATATGAAATATTAGAAGAAATAATTAAACCACGTAAAGAATATATTCTTACTGATCATTATGTAAGTCATAGGCTGAACTCGCTAAAATATATTCTATCTAAAGAGTTTGCAGTATCGAAATTACTACACGCGTTCTGTTTTATTCTTTTATTCTTATATAAAGAAAAGTTTAACATGTACTTCAGCTACAAATCAATAATACAAAAAATTACAAATTATGAAACTATTCCAGCCGATTTAAAACTTATTGGAACAAGTGCCAAAGATTTGAATATTATAGCGAACATCCAATATTACAATAATTTATTGAGCCTTTGCCAGTTTTTTTCTATTCCAATAGCTATTATCGCTATAATGAGTGTATGTTTTTCTTACTTAAAAAATATTTATCTCGCCTTACTACAAGCAAAAACAAGATCCATTATCATTAATGAATATTACAGCCAGTTTTCGCAAATAAATTTCTACTGGGTTAAACTATCGTTGCTGTCACTAAGATTACCAATTATTCTACGTAATTTTATTGGCGTGATATTTTCAGTTGTAAACGATTATAACAACGTGATTTATTCTGTATATAAGAACATCAGAAATATTGCCATGAAAAATAAAACACAAAATAAAGACAGCAGTTTTAAAATTGATGACATCAAATATCACAACAGATATATAAATAATAAAGGTTTGTCAAACATATTAGCAGAAAAAAATAAAAATATCATCAATGCAGACGAAGATCTTAATAAAGCATGTCCGTTATGCTTAGAAGTCTTCACTAACCTCTCTCTTGTTATCATATTGCCTTGTAAACATATATATCACAAAAAATGCTGTCAAAAATATAATAATCTGCCATACTGTATTTACGAATGTAAAGAAAAAGTACAACCAATAAAAACTCTGTCTAAAAAAATTTTTTCAGATAACGCAAAAAACATCACTACTAAAATAAAGCTTGATCTTTCAACGATACTAAATGAAAATAAGTCAGATGAAAGTTTATTTGAAGCGGAATTTTGATAAATTGTACGTTTGGTATTCTATGATAGAATTAAAAATAATTTATCATATGGGTAAACAATTTATTTAGTTGGCTTTCGACACGTGTATTCGATTAAACACTGTAAAGAACAGCCAAATGCACGGAACGTGTCCAACAGATATGAACATAAGATGAAAACGAAACTTGGTACCGCTTGCACTTTGAAAAATAAAATTAAAATATTAATTATACAAAACAATCAAAAAATAAAATAAATTCACGTAAAACGTAACAAATTGTCAAGATAAGACAACTGAACGTTGAACAGTATTACTCAAGATTATTATTTTATGTTAGATAAATTGTTTTTTTAGAATGTGCTAAAATTAGGGGGCAAATTCAAATAAATTAACTTTTAAATTTTTGCCGTAGCTACTATAATGATGCCTAAAAAAAATTTAACAGGATTAAATACAAGGTCAACGAACAAACGGGTAAAAATAAAGTCTGATTGTCCATCGAATTGTTTGAACTCAAGTACTTATTCTAAAAAGTTTAAAAGCAAAGTTTCTGATGACGACAGATCTTCTAGTCAAGAAAAAAATTGGCCTGTGATTGATGCATTAATTAAAATTTCTAAATGTGAAGTAGATCCAGTTTACGTAGCTCCATCTAAAGTTTCTCACGTTGGTCAGTTTCAAATTTCTGAAGAGAACAATAAACTGTTAACAACCCATATTAGTATTGAATCAAATCAAGAAACCAAATCGGCTCAAGTGTATGAATTTGCAAATTATAGTAAAGTGTCAATTAATAATTTGATTTTATTATTTGTTTCTTCCGATTCTTTAGATTGCATAAATAAGTATAATTATCTAGTTATTCCCTATTCTGAATATGACAAGCTTTGCTCTTATATAATTAATGAATCTGAAACTACTGTGATAGTACCAGTCACGGAATCTTCTAATGGATACTCGCTCACTGTCATAGGAGGTTGCTCACCGCGCGAAATAGTTGGTATTATCAAAAAAGACTACAATGAACAAAAAGAACTAAAGCCTCATGCAACTGACAAAGCGTCTTCCGACTTCTTAGCTGAAGCTTTATTTTCTGATTACATCCAAAATCAAAAAAATAAAAAAAATCGCACTCCTATCTGTAGTTTGAAATTTAGTCAAAATGATTATGTTTTACTTGTGGATAATTACTATTCAGATAAAAAAAAGATCAGCAGCATTGACTCTTTCTGCTGTATTAGTTTAAATTGGCATGAGAAATACACCAACCAGCTAATGTTGCCTACTAAAGCACAACCGTTGGCTCTCTTTTGTCACGATCAATATAATATTGTGAAAATGAACGACAACAACCAATATCTAGTAGTTCCAAATATTTATATAAATCCTTTACTCTCAAAATTAAATACCTCTGCGACATTTACAAATAATATAATGCGTTCCATGCCTTACAGCTCACTTCAGTCCATTATGGCACAAATAAGCACTAAAATAAATTCCGAACGACAAAATAAAAATAATGAAATCATTTCGAAACATTACCAAGCCTGCAATGAAGTCAAAAATTTTCTTGCAGATAAATTGCCAAACTGGTGGAGAAACATAGTCCAGACTGTTCCAAACAACATAGTAGTAACAAATCCTCTTTTGCCGTGGATTAGTTCGTGGGTTAAACTATCAGAAAAAGAATTTCTCGCTCTTCAATCTTTACAACTCAAAGTACTCCAACGTCTAACCGAAGAAAACGTTTTGCCCATAAACATATGCACCAATCTATATTCCATCAATACCGTTAATTTCAGTAACACAAAAATTGCGCCTAACTCGCAGAAATATCCAGTAAGCAAGGTAACAAAATCATCTTTAAAAAGGAGTCACTCGACCGTTATACCCAAAGTCAAAGACGATGCTTTTGACCATAAGACTGATGCATTCACTGTTAATAATCAAGGAAGACACCACACAGTTGCTAAAAGACCCAGCTCTCATTCGCAAAACGCCAACACAGTAATTAAAAATTCCAGACATAAAATTAATCATCGTAATTAGCTCATTTTTTTGTATTGTAATCCAACATTTATTTATAACTCAATTGTACACTCGAGATAATTTGAACATCGCTGTTCTTTTTACCAACTTTAGTGTCAGCGTTACAGTTATTTGTGCAATCAACTGTTTGGCGGCAAATTGGACAAATTAACTGTTTGCTGAACCATTTTTGTAAGCATTCTTTATGCATAATATGACCACATTTCAATACTTTCGAGTCGATTGAAAGAATTTCGCTGCAAATAATACACGTGTCCACTGCGATAATGTCTTTTATGTTGGCTTCTGGCAATACTTTTTGCACATCGATACAACTCACTTGAGCTTTGTAGAACAAATACATTTTATAGTACAAACTAATAAAGGTTTCGTGGTTGATGAAAATGAGCCCGGTATTGTTAAAAGTCGGCTCGTGATAGAGTTTTATTGTAATAAGTGCGAATATTGTCTGCATGTATGCAGCGAACACCATCTCAATTGCACACTCTTGAACATTACTTAGTTGCCACCACGACAACTTCGATTTGATGTAGGTCTCCATTGAATACAGCCAAACCGATGGTACTTTAGACGTCATTCTCAGCAATTCAAGGAATTGAATAACCACAAAAGTGTAACCTGTTAGCGAGGATTTGGCGAACATTAGTAAGGAAGATAGTTCAATCGTTGTTGTCAACACAAAAATGATTGTTATTATCAAAAAGTCTTTACAAGCAATCACTTCCTTCGTTCTGAAGTATTTTCTTATGGCTTTAAAAATCACGGATAAACTACAAAACAGAATTCCATTGTAGAACATAATCGACAGAGAAACGGGCTGGTAGTCTAAATAGGTTCTCGATCCAATGTTTGAAAAGATGTACGAAAAAACATATCCCCGAACGTGAGAAATAAGTTCTCGCGACTCTCTGCGGAAGTCAGCTCCCAGGATGTATTTGCACGTTTGTATCACGATTAACGCGCAAGTTAAATTGTTGATAAAAAAACTTACGATGCTTAGCTTATCATTGTAAGAAATAGCTATTAATATGTCGAAAAATGAACCGCCTTCTTTTATGATCCTGTTTGCGTAATAGACCACTAGAGCAAAATAAATAGGCCACAATAAAACTAAAACTTTCAAACTACATAGCTTACTAATGTAAAAGTGTGACATGAATTACGTTTCTATTTTCAAACCAATTTTTCCTTTAACAAACATTTACATTAACTCAAACAATAAATGTAGCGAGTGAACAAAAACTATAATAATTATAATAAAAAGAAAAAAGTTACGAACTAAAATATAACTTATCTTAGTCTAAGCTCTCCAATTTTTTTTCAGCATCGATAAGATTAGGCAAGCTGTTGTTTCCGACAGCGTCGAAGTTTTTTGCAAGCTTGGAAAAGTCGATTCCCAAATCATTCAATTCAGATCCTGCTTTGGACTCGGCGGGGTATTCGATCGACGGGCCAGTGACGTATAAAGCTTTTAGCTTTGCCGAATAAACAACGTTTGCGTTGTTTTCAAATGAAATGCGGGATGAATCGTTCATCGTAAGCATTATTCCGTAGTCTTTTAGCTGATGAGAGTTTATTCCTTTCACAGATTGCGAAACTTTGACATGCAGGTTATTATCTTGAAGCACGGATTTGGCCGTAGCCACTCTGGAAACACGTGAACTTCGGTTTTGTTGTTTCTGTCTATTCAAGAACTCTTGACGAGTTTTTGCGATTAAATCAGCTTTAGATGACATTTAGCAAAAATAATTAGAAAACGATTTTCATTTTTTGAATAAAAATACAAATTCTAAAAGCTAATCAGAGTCGCTAGAACTATCATTATAATCGATAAATAATGTAGGAATATTTTCTCCAACCGCAGTTGTTTTGTTATTTTCATTTTGAGAAATTAGGTTTACGATTTTATAAGAAATTGCACTCGGGACGTAGTTTTCCGCAAAACAAAACGCACTGATGTTGTATGTAGCGGGTGCTTTCAATGTGATTTTATCTTCGTACTAAACGGTGGTTTTTCAACAAAACTTACTATATTGTACAGATCGCGTTGCAAAGCGTATTTTACTTTAAACAATTTGTTGGTCGTTTCGAAAGTCAACTCATAGTCGTTGTCGTTGATCTGATTCACCAAGATCACTGGAGGATCACATCGCGATAAATTTGTAAACGTGTTCAAATCTTTGCACAGGTTTTTTTGGATACTGGCTAAATCTGGGCACGGAAAGTAATAACCTGGGACGCAGTTTGGATCTAAACCTGAGATGTCGTTGTAATCCGGAGGAGCTCGGCTAAATGAAGCAATTTGCTTAGATAACTGCACGAGATCCCTTAAGTCAACGGGCTTTTCGAGAGACTCGTCAGACAACTCAATATGTTTCGTAGCTTCAAAAATTATCGGAGCTATTTCGTCACGTACTCGTAAAGCACAAGCCAAAACTTCACCTGGAGTTTTCAGACTTCCAGAAACGAGCACTTTCAGCTCGCTACAGTTTTTAAGCTTATTTAAGTCATATTGGTTCCCGGTTTTCCGGTTCAACCGTTCCTGGATATTTTTGAAAATTCCAATAAATTTCTCATAAGCCTCCATTTATCGTGTGCAACATAACCAAAGTTTATTAACTTTTAATTCCTTTTAAAGAGATTACAAAAATAAATAAATTCAAAAACTTTTCAATAAATCGAATATATATTTTACTAAGCAACTTATCCGTAAAATGACTCTGAACAAAACTGATGCTGAAACCTTGCGCGCTATATCAGAAAAAAGAAGACAAAAACTGCTTGGTGACGCCAATACTAGAATGAAGATGGTTGGATTAACTGAAAATGAAGTTTCAGCCCAACCCAAACAAAAAAACCAAACGCCTAAGTCGCCTGAATCGCAATTAAACAATAGTTTCACGTCAAAGAAATCCACTACGAATCAGATCAAAATGTCATCTGCAGGGCTCATCAATCTAACCATTAACCTTGCCGAGGTTATGATTGCTTTAACCGCAGGATTTTTGGCTCGCCGCGAATTCATCACTGGCTACGCAGCTCCAAACTACTTCTATTATTCTCCAGTGACTTTACTTCTTTTTTTCGAATTTATCAGAGTTTTTTGCCTCACTACTTACGCAAAAATTCCAGTATCGCTTTCATCTGTGGACATTATTTTCAATTTAGTGCCTCAGCTTCAAACTTATAGACAAAAACTCTTGTTTTTGTTCAAACTTTTTTTCGTTTTGAAGGACGAGATCTATTATTTCGCAGGCTTTTTCATCACATATGAAATTGCTTTTATTTTAATGGCTATTTTGTATAAATTACAGTTGGTCAAATTATAAGTCGTTCAGTTGCTTAATTATGCAATTAACTTAAAACACAAATAACCATAATACAAACTCGTTATTTGCTAAAATTTTTTACTCGTTACTCAGCATATATTTATTTCAAATATATTAAATTTACATCCATTCATATTTTTGACGTTGAAAATAATTTAATTCTTTTTGTAATAATTGGAAAAAATTTCACATTATATTTTTTTAACTCGATAGTTTTGTTTTTTGTGGAAAAATCGCTTAATTTGGATTTCGCATTGTTAATAATTTTACTATTTTGCTTGAAAATTTTTTTATTACTATTAATATCTAGCCCACGGCCGTGTGCATTTACGACACTTTTAAAAGTATTTGATGCGAGTGATAATTTGATATTGGAATTCATTGCTTGTCCGGTTTTGAGAATTTTAAGATCATCGGTTTTTTGTGATTGAATCAATCGTTTTCCAGCATCTTCTTTTAATATATTTATATTACGTATTTTTTCATTTTTAATCTGCGGTAAAGATGTCGAAAAGTTGTGCCACACATTAGGAGTCGAGTACCTAGCTAAATCATCCTGTAAAACTTTGTTAACTAAACTACTAGATTTTTTATTTTGGTCGATATTGTTCCAGTTTAAATTTGAATTTTGTTCCTTTGAAATATCGTTAGAGTATGAGTATTGATTAGCTTTTTGAGTCGGTGTTCTAGCAAACGAGTTTAACGAATTTTTTTCGCTATTATCATTGTTTAGTTTAAATAAATCATTGCTCTTGTTCTTCCACAAATTTCTCTCATCCACGAAGGATTGTGATTTTAGAGAATTGATAGCTTTGCTATTGTAGTTGTTATTGAATAATTCTTTGTTTAAATCATTATTCAATCTTTCTTCGGTTGTATGCAAATCCTCTATATATGTGCTCATTTCATTATTAAATCCAAAGAAATCCGTTTTGTTTGATTCTTGCTTGCAAAAAACTTCGTTCATATCAAACGTTTTACTATTAAAAACACGAGTATAATTGCTTTTTAAAACATTAATCTTTTTATCAATCCGTACATTTGATTGAGAAGCAGAATCTGGATCCGGTTTTAATAAATCAGAATACGATACAAAATTGTTTTCTAGCCTATCGTCATGGTTTTTCTCAATTTCAAACGAAGATCTTGTTTCTAATTTTTTAACTAATTCTAGACTTTTAATTGAATCTTTTAAAATTCTGCTTTTTAAAGGAGGTGGATCAAATCGTGTATTGATACTTTGCTCAAAGCTTGATTTGGACAACGGAGAATTAATTACTGCTATGTTTGCATTAGTGTTTGATTCAATAGAAATGTTACGCAAAGTAATACTTTTTTTTTCTACACGTGAAAACTTCTTTATGTTTGGCACTTTAGATGATTCTTTTTTTACATCTAATTTAACATCACTCAACTCTATTACATTATTTGATTTAATTATTGGTCGCGATACCTCAGTTGTTTCAGTTAATTTTTGTACTTTGTTTATTTCTGAATTTACTTCCGACCTAGCGAATATACTGGTAAGATCGTTGTTGAAGCTATGATCATCTTCTCGGCCAACGTCGTAAAATTTTTTTTCTATAGATTGATTTTTTATCGAAATATTATTATAATTTTTAAGCACACTTTCATTTGATTTTTCAGAATTTATGACCTTGTGAACGAGATCAATGTTATTTTTAGTATTATTAGACTCTATCGTGTTGGATTTTTTTTTTAATCGTATCGGCTGAATAAGTTTTTTATTAATCTTAACTAGAGAAGATAAAGCTGTTTTACTTTCGTTATGGCTTGTTTGATCGGGTGATTTTTCTAATAGGTTGGGTTTGAGCACAACTTTTTTCAAAAGATTCGGTTTTTTTGTTGGATTAAAAACTTGGTCCTTTTTGACAGCTCCAGCTGTACTAGAATTGTATTGATTTATATTTTTAATATTGTTAAATCCTGAATAACTTTTCGTTAAAATATTATTGTTTAAAGTAGAAGCAACGAAACGGTTTTTATTGCTATTAATACTAGAGCCAGAGGATTTGCTCAATTGCTTTAACGTTTTATTATGGATATTTAAATCTGGCTTCAGTTTGTTAATATTGATGTCCAGTTTAGATTGATCATCCATGATTGATTTGATTTGAGTCGTAAAAAAACTTTTTGGTGTTTTAATTTCAGAAGATTTGAATAATTTGTTCACTGAATTAGATTCAGTCGCTGAAGTTTCGAGGTTGTCATTATCCGACAAACCAGAACCATTGTACGTTTCGGTTACCAAATCATTATTACTAATGCTCGTTGTTAAAGATAGTTTTGATTTAAACACGCTTTGGAATTTTTCCGGAGTCCTATAAGTTGGTGTTTGTTCTTGAGCTACATTGTTAGAATTAAGTGAGTCAGTATTAACTTCAGGTCTATTGTCATCATTAATCTTGTAAGTATCTAAATCAACGGAAGGAAATGGACTATTTATAGTACTTGAATTATGTTTTGCTAGTGATTTTGAAATTGAAGCAAGAAATTTTTTTGTCTGAATAGTTTTTATCACTTCGAGTTTTATTTGTGGTGCTATCTTAGAAGGTTCAATTGATTTATCGTTTTCATGTGAAAACTCATTTCCCATGCTCAAAGTGAGAGAAGCTTTATTTCGATCTAATGAAGATTTGGAAGTAGAAAACAAATCATTCGGCGACGTGTAAGATTGTATGCTTTTGATTTGATCTAAGTTTTTATTCAGAAGAAATTTTTTTGAATATTCCAAACTTTTGATCTTTGGTAAAATACTACATGTCGAATCACTTTTATTTAGATCCTGGAACACTAACTTTTCTGTAACATTCGGTGAATCAACTTTATTCAAAATACCATTATCAGTAGTTTCAACAGCTGTAATTGCATTAAGTTTTTTTATAGATTGCTTTAAATCAGAGTTAGATTTTTTTATTAGCTTTTCATCATTAAGTGCAGGAAGATCGAATTTTAGTTCTAGGTTATTCATTTCCGAAGAACTGATTTTTTCGTTGTTAATACCCACACTTGCTTTCAAAAAACATTGAATCTGATCAGGTGCCGTTTGAATAACTATGGTATCTTTAGGAGTTAATATTGAATCATTCTTTGATAATATCGGTGCTTGAACTTTTGACTGTAGTATATTAACTAAAGATTTTTTAGGTACATCAAAAGTAATCTCTTTTTTGATATCGGAACTGTACTTAGTTAGTGAGTTATCAGGATCGTTTTGCTTAATTAGGGTTTTTGTTTTTAGAGCCGTCACGTGCTTGTTTAGTTTTGTAACTGACTTATTGTCGGCTGACTTTAAATTTGGGAACTTATTGAAATTTTCATCATTTTTTGTTTGAATGCCTTGCTGTTCATCTGTAGATTGAAGCATAGGTTCGGCTAAAATCTGTTCTTTTCTAATAACATCGCTTTGCTTATCATCAGACAAACTTATGTTGATCATTTCTCCATTCTGGTTAATCATATTTGTGACTTTGTCCAAATCCGATATTGATGAGATTTTACTATATTTTTCCTCGATAATATGCGTTTTTGAAGTTTCATCTTCTTTTGAAATTGTGCTAATTTCATTTTTGTTAAGTTTATTCACATCTTTATTTATATTTGTGTTATTGATACTATGTGAAAATTGTTTTTTTAGGCTGTTTAAAGAATCGTTCGTATTTATTTCTAATGACTTTTGCTCTATAGAAATATTTATAATTTGGATGTTATTACTTGTTTTACATGAAAAACCGCAGGTCGGTTTATTTATTAACTGGTTTTTAAGACTGTCCACAGAGCCATTACCAGTTTTAGAAATTATTTCTTTGTTTAGGTGAGCATTAGTGTGATCTTTACGTTCATTTAAAAAAATCTTAGAATGACCTTTTAAACTATTGTTTTCAATTGTTTTTATATCTTCTTCATCAGTCTTAATTAAAGTTTTAGTTTTTATAACATTTACTGACCCTTTTTTAGTGGTTACTGTGTTGTTGCTCACATCACTATTTAATTTTTTTTTATCAAATTCATGTAAGACAATGCTATCGTTTTTGTTAGCTTCTTCAATTTTATTGATGTTAAAATTTTGAGCTAGATCTACGTTTTTATCAATAATTTTAGTTGCAACTGTATTTATATCATTACTTGTAATAAAACTACTTAAATCGTTTACGTTGCTATTATTGGTCGGTAACGAATTTGGATTTTTTAAGTTACCAGTAACTGTGATTTTGCTATTATTATTGGCTGTATCAAAAATTTGCTTTGAGTTTTTTACAGAGTCTTCAGCTTTGTTTAAAACACTGCTCTCTGGTTTATTTATTATTTCATCATTGACACTATTTATAGGTTTATTATGTGCTGTGCTTGGAGTATTAGCTGTAGAAAATGGTTTCGCATTGACTGAAGTCATTGAGCTGCTGACAGATTTGTTTATAATATTGTCGTTGAATTTAGCGGGAAAGTTACGTTGAGCATTAGTTGAGATCCCCGAACCTGACTTGTTCTCAATACTCATTTGTTGTGATACAGATGGTTTAATAAACTCATCGTTTAGTGGGAGTTTGTCTGTTGAAAAAGAAAGTTGATTAATGTTTGTTTTTTTGCACGAAGAGTTCCACCCAATTTTTTTTGTTAAGCTGTCGGAATCTTGATTGAGTGTAACTTCTTTAAGTGGTTGCAAAACGGATTCAGAAATGGATTTAATTGAATTTAATACCTGAGAGTCAGTGTTTGAGTTTGAAACTAAAACATTATTTTTCAATGAGTCACTTTGTTTCGTTTGAGAGTCATTAGTTCCGTTAATAGATTTTGAACTTATTTCAAACGAAGCAGATTTTCCGTTGTCTTTAATTGAATTAACTTTTTTTATTGTGTTTTCTGTTGTTGCCGCAAAATTTGCTTCTTTATAATAAACAATCCTTTTCTCATTTCCAGTTGCTTCAAGTTGATATATATTATTTTTGGGTGTCATGAGTGGTTTTATTGTAGAGAGTTTTTTTAGTGGCGTGAGAAGTTTTTTAGTTACTTTAGAAATTGTGTTTGATTTTATATCAACAATTGTAGATGGATTACCTGTATCCAGTACATCAACATTATATATATGAATGGTACGATAATCTTTCACAACTTTCTTTGGCGACGTGGAATTATCATTTTCGGATAAATTAGAACTTAATCCAGGTAATCGTTCATTTCTTGTATCATTATTCTGAACCATATGTTGATCGGTATCTCCAATGGTAGATTTAGATTCAAAAGTGATATTATCATTTTTTAATGAAGTTTTAATATGTAATGAGCTGTTTGTCACATCAAAAAAAACTTGATTAGTAGTCTTTTCATTATCATTTGAACTATTTGTGTTTTTTTTTTTTATTTGAATAGAATCCTTTCGTTGCTCGAATTTATTGACTTCTGAAGCTAATCTTTTGATCGTATTGCTTGATAACAAAATGGGCGTATGTTTAGTTACTTTTTCTTGTGACTTTGAAGTTTCATTTGTACTTAATACAGTTTTAAAAGTACTAGTATCCAATGTATCACTTTGAGATAGATTTTTTTTAATCGATAAAGTTGAAAAAGTTGTGTTGCTGTTGTTGATAATCGCATTCACCGAAGATTTTGAATTTTTCACGGATAGCGATTTAGTTTGTGCAATAAGTAATTTTTTTGTACTAAATACCTCTGAAGATGAATTTTTGTTTTTTGGCGGTGCTGAAACAGTTTTAGTAAAAAGCGTTTTTTTGATACCAACTACATCTGAAAATTTAAGCTCGTTTTTTGGAGAAGCTGGATCAGTTTTCGTAAGCAGAAATTTTTTCGTATCAACAGCATATGAAGATTTACTTGCGTCTTTTTTTTGATTTATATCATTATCCATAATGTTGCGTAATATTTTGTCCTGAGTTTTAGATTTATTACTTAGTGATGTTCTGATATGATATTCAGAGGAAGAGTTGAATGTAGGTTTACTATCTTCTTGATGCACACCATTATGAACTTCTAAATTTGGAGTCTTATTAGATTTTAAAATTGGAGAGCTTTTTAAGCTCAAAAGTGCTACTTCAGTGTCATCTTTCTTCATTGGCTAAAATGACATGTACGAACTAGTTTTGACTTACTGATTTAGCTATTTTTGAATTTTGTTCGTTAATTTCCTGGCTGTTTGTATTATTTACTTCTTGTTTAGAGTTTTCATTTGTGTTTTTTTTGGATTTAATGTAGTGATTATATTTTGTAATAAATTGCGTGTCATTGCTACAGCCAGAAAAAAGTATTTTTTGTAACTCTATCCATCTAACGTTAAATAATTGTTTCAATTGCTGTGAATTGAATCTTGAAACAACTTTAATAATTATATCATTTACTAATTCATTCATGGTGGCGCTCTCATTTAGATTAGAGAGAATTATGAGATAAAAATCATTTTCAACTAGATTTAAATCATAAACATGTTTATTAGGGTGAGCTTTAAAATCTAAACTAAGGGTAAAATCGATCTCGTTCGAAGAGAAAGTAACTATTGCGTTAATTTCAAAACATAGGCGAAGTAAAATTAATTCAAAAATTAAAAACTGCTTTTCATTAACAAGCGCATCAGTTAATAGTCGTAATATTAGACTGAGAAATAACAAATCTTCTGACACATTTTTAAACCTATTATCGTATTGAGGCAAGTTTTTCAATTGGTTTTTAACAAATGTTGATAGTTTATCATCGGTTAAATCGTCATTCAGAAGTTGATGATCAAAAAACTGTGTTGTAGGATTGCTCTTAGTTGCTTTATTTGGAATATGGGTTAGTATAGATGCAATTAGTTCGTCCAGAATCAAGAGTTTTTTAAGAATATAACGTTCCTGTATTGATGAATACGTAGACTTGATGAGATTTAATTGTTCCGAGTTCAGAAGCAGAATAATGCTAGTTATCCAAGTTTTTAAAGCTGGAACAGTAGAAGACAAATTAGAATTCATCACATCTGATTGCATCACGTTTTTTAAACGGTAATATGGTATTGGCTATACAGGTGCAAAAATTCATTGAAAACAATTTCTTAAGAACAGAATAGAAATAAAATGTTAAACAGATAGAAATGGTTATTGGGTAATTATAACGTTTTGGTTTGAAAAACAAATCGCTTATAATAACTAAATAATAAATTCGGTTAAATTACCAAAAATGAATATGATTTATGGCTTCTCATCTGGCTAGGATAATTGGTACAGAAGAGGACAAGTAAGTTTAAGCTGACTAAAAATTTTAGGATCAATTGTCCTTTTTTCTGGAAAATTGGGGCTTGTAGGCACGGTGACCATTGCAGTCGAACTCACTACCGGCCAGCGGTCTCCCAAACCATTTTATTGAAGCATTTATACGAAAATCCGCCAATTGCTCTGGCTTTAGCCGAAGGTCAGGAAGTGGAAGACTCTGTTGCAGATATTGCGCAAGACGAATGGGAAGAGTATTTTATAAAATTATGGAAATTTCTAGAACGTTTTGGGGAAATAAGTCAGCTCGTCTGTTGTGATAACATTGGAGATCACATGAACGGCAATATATATGTTAAATATGCTTCAATAGAAGATGCTGCATCGACGTTGATAAAACTGAAGCAGGAATCTTTCAATGGGAAACAAATTGTTGCAGAATTCTCTCCTGTTACAGATTTTACCGACTGCATTTGCCAGCAGTTTATTGAAGGAGAATGCTCAAGGGGTGGTTATTGCAATTTTATGCACCTAAAACATGTTCCACGGTGCTTGAAAAGAATGCTAGTAAATGAAATGTATGAAAAATATGAGAATTATAACATCAACCGTGGAAAAGAAATTGTTTTTTTTGAAAGAAAATATAATAATGAACTTAGAAATAAAACGGGTTCACACCCTAAACATCGATACTCCAACAATTTAAAAAAATATAGCATGCCTTATAATAAAAAATTTTATAAAAAAAATATACCACGGGCACATAACTAAGCAGAGTGTTATTAATCAAATGATTTATTGATGAAGGTTCTTATTTCCTTATAATTGTCTAAAAATAAGAAATGAAAATGATAAACAATGTTTATGTAAAGTTATGTATCTTGTTATTTGCTGCTGGTTTTCAAAACGTTAGCGCAATGAAAAAATCTTCTCCCAATAATATTATCGTATCCGATCAAGTTAATACATTCAGAGATGATAATCTATACTCATCTTCTTCGAGTCAAAGTAGCTTGCCTGCTACCTCAACAAAAGAAAAAAACGAAAACAATCTGGGAGAACCAGCTGTTCACGCTGAAAACTCTGAGGAAAACAAAGGTCATCTTGAAAATAATAAATCTTTTTTGGCAGAGCTTCACAAGTATTCTATTATGAAATTATGGCTTGTGCTTTGTCCAGAAGATAAATTCATTGATTTGTTCAATAATTTTCAGAATTTACATTCTTGGCATCATGATAAAATCGTTTACAAAAAGGATATTATAGCATCTCAACTTAATATGCCAAAGGATAGCTTTTCGACTGTTCAGACTTTGTTACAACTGTCTGACGATCCTGATGCGGTTATTTCTATCTACGAGCGAATTTTAATGTCAAGATTCTTTGCGACCAGCGAAGAGATTTTCCCCATCAATCGTTTAGCAAAAGAAAATACACAAAAGTCCAACTATAAATTTGGAAGATTGACAGATTATTTCTTCTTGCACGAATTATTTCAAAGAGTGCTTTTTCCAGATAAAGATTCTTCTTTGAATCCTCATGTTTTCATTAATGAATCAGTGGAAAATAAATTTTTCAAGAAGAAATTCGAGAAAAACAACCACAGATTGTTCCAATTGACATCGAAGTCTGACAATTTATTCATTTTAAATAGATACAATGTCCCCTCAAACCAAAGGACAAAAATTTACTCGGTTACTTCCAATATAGAGAGTTTGATAGATTCTTTATATCATTTTGATAAAAATCTTTCTTTTAGTGACAAATTAAAACAAGTCAAAAAAGACGGTTGGCTAACAGTTCGGAATAAAATTTATAATCCTGCAAAATACCCAATATGGTATGAAAATCTAGAAAATCCGGGACTTCTTAAGCTAGATGAATTTGGTTACACCTCAGATGATGTAAACACTACGATACAGAACGTTTCTCTTTCGAAATTACATCATCCTTTGGACATTTTGTTGATGTTCACAGATAATTCAAAACTTTCAATAAATGAATTTATTCGCAAGTATGAGTTGATCATCGTATCTCACGATTCTCTCCGAAAAATATTTGAGCTACTCAATGGAATAGGTAAAATTCATTCGTCAGCCATGCTGTATCATGTGAATGACATAGATCTCAGCCTTGCTTTGACCAGTGCGAAAGACGCGTCAGTTACGTATCTTAAAAATAGAATGGAGTACAATAAGCTTTTCAATATGGGGTTTCTGGAAAGGTTAGAAAGAGAGTTTGTTGGATCTGTTAACCGCACGTTGAACAGACAGCCGCAACACACATACAATTCTACTGTAAACGGTTTTGACGTTCAATCTAAAGTTGCAGAAATAATATCTAACGGTTTAAAGAACTTTGTCAATAAGTTGAATAAAAAACACTTAATCCATAAGTTAGCGGACCTGTTTAGAACTTTTTTAATACTATAGTTGTTAGACCACAATATATGTAAAACACGAGTTTTGTTGCAAATGAAAACTGATTTTAAACGAAAATGATGCATACTCCATTAAACGTAATTATAAAACAAATAGAATGAGATAGTTAATTGATTTCATAACCTTATAAATTTATAAATTTCAGGACTGTTTAAAGTTTTGTGTTCAGACGTTTTGTGCTGATTCATCAGCAGAATGCGATTCTTCGTCTAAGGAAGAAGATTTCATATGACTCAGTTCTGCCATTTCGTGTTTTCCTGAATTCTTTCTTTGGATTAAGAGCTGATCGTCGGACACAGCATCTAAAGTGTTTAAGGCTCTGCCAACAAAAACAAAAATAAAACTGATCAGTCCTTTAATAGTGAAAACCCCGTGGAACGCTATTCCAAGTAAATAAACCGAAGCCATCGCTGCGAGTTCAATGAATCTCCACGGTGGTTGTCCTGTCGATCTGATTAAAGTATTTGCAACTACGTTTTTGATTATAGGTAATACAGTTGTAGTGACAATACAACTCCACAAAACAAAACTCCAGGCATTGTTTAATGAAGGCATTGAAGTAAAAAATCTGCTTTCTCTCGACAGCAAAATAAAAATTGGAAGCGTAATAATACCAAAAGCGTTGTGAGTAACCTGAAGTTCAATATTATTTCCCGAAACTTCATGTAAAGCTCTCTCGAGCATTGCACCTCTGTAAATAGCTGTCAATATTCCATATATTAAAGAAAGCCCCACGACATGCCTAGCTGAAGTAGTATGGTCTGAAATAAAAATTAAATATCCAATAATCATTAACCCGATAGAGTTCCATCTGTTTGTAGAGTAAACTTGTCCGCAACCTATGAATCGCACTATGTGATGCGCAATAACGGCATAGACTGCTGCTATAGGATAGTAAGCCGGCGTTATTAATTTAGCAAGGAGTGAGTTGCCGACTACCGTCATCAGGACGAAAACCAAGCTCGGGAGCCACAAATTTTTCAACTAAATAATATTTGGGTATAAAATAACTTACATTGCTAAAATCTAGCTTCACAGGTGGAAAAACGTTATACTTCGGAAACTCTGTACTGAATTCCCCGAGAACAAATTCAAATAAAGTTCCTATTAACATTTGTAACCAAGATATGGTTACTGGATAAGGAGAAACCCTGGACATATAGTACCAGGGAGCCATAATACTTATAACCGAAATTGAGTAAAATAATAATTCATTTCTGACAACATTGGGCGTTTCAAAAAACAATTTTCGTTCATCTCTTGTCAACTTCAACATTTTTTGTTGTTATACGAAACGATGAAGTAAGGTGCAAAAATAATTATCAATATTGAGTCTTGCACACCAGCACCGCATTGTGTACAAAACTTTGCAAAAGATATCAGCTTATATTTATTTATTTTGTTCGTTGATCGACGATCTTGTCAATATTGGATTG